GAAGAGATCGCTAAGAGCGATATCTTCCAGACAACCTTTGGATGGACAGGATTGCAAGAAAACAATAAAATCGTGTGTGTTTTGGTGACAAAAATATAAATATATATTTTTTTAAGTATAAATATATAAAAGTGCAAATATATACTTTAAAACTATTATATATAACATAAATGTGCCGTATGTGTTTATATGTAAATAAACAAATATTGTAACTAAATAAAGCTAGAATAGTTATATACAAATGATTAGGCATTATGTTTGTATAAAGTGCAGTCAGTCTGTGCTTGCGTGCAATGCGCGACATTAGAGAGACGAGACGCGAACTACTATACTACTACTACGTGCTAACCCTCGGCCAGGGCAGTCGGCGACGGCCCGTTCCACGCACACATCCAGACACCCACACATAGCCGCAAGCGATCTTACGTGCACACATGCTTAAGTGTCGTTTCTTTTCGCGTAGTGTACATTTTCTTTGGTGACGCTATGTTCATGTCGGTTGAGGTGACCTCTATATATATAAGTCCCCCAAGGAATGCCACAAAGCACGGTCCTGAGCCAACTGCTTTCATCGGTTTTGTGAATAAAATAGAAATCCGAGTAAGTTGTATGATCTAAGATTTTTGCCTGCCTTATTGGTTAATCGTAACAACAACAACAATACGATCTAGTGATACCCAATATTTGTATTTGTATCATTATATCGTATCGCAATGTATCGATGCACGATATTATCTTAAATATAGTCTAATATAGTTAATATCGTTTCGTAATGTACAAATTTTTTTTTTACTTTATCATTAGTTATTTAGTAGAAGGCATGAATCGACTTTGTGAGTTAGCCTGCGAAATTATTATTTTTTTGTTTTGCGACAGTTATGGCAGTGCATATAGGGATTTATAATCGTAGAAATGTTCAATATGTTTTCATTTGTGATATTTGCTGCAAGATAATTTAGACTATTGAGTATTTCATGGCAATCTGGCGTTCTCGTCAAATCAAAACAATGATTCACGAAATTTATACAAATAATTAAAATTTAAGTGTCTGTTTGTAATGTCACAAATTACAGATTTTTAGTAAATTTATAGGAAAGTAAATACGGTACTTATAACTTAAATACAATTTTTAAAATTTTTGTCTGTCTGACTGTTTGTTCCGGCTAATCTCCGAAACGAACCAACGCGCGCAACGTTGCCCTCCCCGCGCCCCTGCTACTTCACTTGACGCCGTGAACCAATAAACAAACTCCCGCTACTCTTACTGGATACCCAATATATAGTACTTATAACAAAAATATTTTTTTTTAATTTTTGTCTGTCTATCTGTACTGTTTGTTACGGCTAATCTCCGAATTTCGACGGGAATTTCACTGGCAGATAGCTGATTTTATAAGGAGTAACCACTTAGGCCATTTTTATTTTAGAAAAATCATTAGGGTTCCGCGCAAAAACATAAAAACCCTAACATGCGAGTGATGTCGTGGGGAACAGCTAGTACTAAATAAATGCTAGTGTACTTCTCGAGTTCGCGCATAAACGTAAACAACGAAGTGAAAGCATTGTTGTCGTTCCATGCGCCTAGTAATGCGATCGCGCAGTCTTGCAAAAGTCACAACGTCGCAATTTGAACCGCAGCGCCCGAGCGATACGGTCCATCCGAATCACCGAAGTTTGCATTCATTCATTCGATTCGAGTAACAAGTACTTAATGATGATTTTGTCGTTGTCATAGCACGATGAAATGATTTTAAAATATCGATGAGATTTTAACATGTGACATGATATCGGACTCATCTCTACTCATTAGTCATAGTCATAGTCATAATATGATACCCCATTTACACTCTCGCGCGAGCGATGAGGCGAGTCGCGCGGCGAGCCAAGAGGCGCGAGTGTAAACGCTAGCTCGTGGCTCGCCTCGCAGCTCGCCTCGCCACTCGCGGCGCTCGCGTCGGCAAAGGGCCTCGCGAGGGACGCGAGCGTGGTGTTTACACTCGCGCTCTCGTTTCAGTTTGTTTACGGCGCCCTTCCATGCAGGTTGTGTTGTTTTGTTGGGTTTACACGTTCAATTTCAATTAAAAATGGACTAGTCGCAAGAAGAAACGCTGCAGTTCTTAGAACTCTATCAGGCTGAGCGAATAATTTGGGATCCAAAACATATCATGCATAAAAATACCCAAAAAGTGAAAGATGCGTGGAATAGAATTTCCGAGGTTATGTGCAGACCGCTAGCAGAGCTCAAAGTAAAAAAGAATTCGCTTATGGCTACCTTTCCTCAACACCTACGAAGAAAAAAGCAATCTATGAAATCTTTGAAAAAATCTATGAATTTTTTTTAATTTTTTTCTTTTTAAAATGGTCAATCATCGATAAATATTTATTAAGGCATGAGTTGATGCCGCTATTATTTCGACGTCTTCCATCGTTGGTGGTTCAACGCAAACTGAACGCATCGCGAGAGTGTAAACAGGCACTCGTTACCTCGCAACAACACGCGAGCTGCGAGGCAAGGTACGAGGCGAGGCGCGAGGCGAGTCTAAATGGGGTATGATGTAGACATACATCGTGTTGACGTGTATCGAATATCGATAGTTCGATACACAAAAATATTGATACGTATCGCGCAACTTAACCAAAGTGATCTTAACCATAGAGTACTTTACTCCTAGCCAAAGAGTATAGTAACTGTCCTATACAGGAACTCCTAGCCATAGATAAGAGTGTATATATACTGAAACTCCTAGCGGAGATCTTAACCCAAAGAGTATAGTAACTGTCCTATACAGTCTTACAGTGTGACCATATGTGGCAGGTTCCTGCCATTTTGGCAGGATTGGCCTCTTATTTTAGCCTCTGGCATGATCGGTTGACGTTTTATAAAACCTGGCAGTATTTGGCAGTATTCGGGTATTAAAAATAGATTTCATTATGGCAACTTAAGCTTACCGAAAATGGCAACCCTATGTACTTCGCCAGCATAAGGGGGATTTTCCTGTACTTCTAGTGTTATGTTTGTAACACATTGAATAAACAACTTTAAAAGTATGGGTGTAAAGTTGATAATCTTAAAACGAGTATAATGGTTAATATTTCAATCAGTCATAGAAGAGACGTACTTTAGTTTATTATCGCATTAGATTTCGTGGTGACAATATCTTGTTAGCGATATTTTGTTAATGATGTTTCGTGGACGATAGTAATTATTGGTGGTGATGATAAAGTAAAAATATGAAAGGCCATAAATAGCGGAGTGGAGTAAGGTCCTTTACTTTCATCGTGGATCTTCAAAGCTAAAGATAATCAGATCCAAATTTGCATCCTGGCTGTCTGTTTTAAAGGAGCATGCCGCTGCTAGTAAACATAAAAAAAAAAAAAAAAAAAAACATCCGTGAGTGTCTTGGAAAACTCAATTGGAACGAAGTTCCTTTCGTAGTGTATTATTATTGATAAACGTATTATATTATTGCTTAAAAAATACAAATAAATGAATTATTAGCATCTAAAAATGAAGCGTCATTTAAAATAAAATAATATTTCTTTCATGGCAAAACAATAAAAAGTGCGAGGGAGATGGATATTATTTCATCTCCCTTTCTCGCAAGGCCTTCTACACTACGTCAGAAGGGGTCGTGACTGAAAAGATCTTACACTATTTCTCGCCTAGTCCCCAATCATCTCATTCGCCTAATTCGTATCGTCCGATAAGGAACTTCGTTCCAAAAATATGTTTGGATTCAACATGCGAAAGAATATTCTGTCAAATAAATCTAATTAAAACAAAAACACGAAACAGATTTAGATATAAACAAACATGTAGCGTCTATCTTTCACGTTAAACAAGACATTGGTGAGCATGGCGATTGCATTGCATTCAAACCAACGAAAGATGTTTAATTTTAATTTAATAAAAATATAGCATTTAAATGTGTATTTTTACCACAGATAAATAAATATATAGCAAGCTAATTTTTACTTTTCTTACTTTAATAACATTAGACAATGGTAAATAAAGTTGGCAGTATTTAGGCATTTTTCACTACAGACTTTGGCAGGATTTGGCAGGTTTTTAACCAAAATAAGGCAGGATCTGTATTTTAAAGATGGTCACACTGAGTCTTAACCAAATACGTAGTAGAGTTTTGGCGGGAAATTGACCGGCGGCGGTTTGCTGCTCCTGTATTATTGTTTAAATAATGGTTTGAAGTGGACTTTGATATGTAAAAGTGTTGCGATTTTGTGTATTAAGTGTCTACGCATGTGAACTATTAGTGGAAACAGTGAAACAAGTGCTCTGATGGTGATGGATTCTCAAGATAAGCTGTTTGTTTGCATAGGCACCTTTAGATACCATCGCCAACTATCAGCTGTCTGCTGGATCAAGTTGCCGCCAAAATCTCCCAAGAACTGCACAATGTGACGCATCAACATATTGTGAAGCAGTATTCTATGAAGGAGTGGGGAAATTACAATAAACCGAATAAAAATACTTAAGACTTGGCCTAAAGGTCTAGATACCGGGCCATAAACTCCAAAAAAAAAAAAAAAAACAAATACGTAGTATCCACTAACGGCCGGTCTCAATTCCCTACAATCAGTTATAAGTAGATAGCTAACCAAGGTAAACAGTTAAGTTTAAACTATCTGTTACTGTCGTCTCAATATCGTAATGTTCGAAAGCTTACTAGAGATAAAAGGCAGATAGTTCATGATAACTTTGGTTAATGCGTCCCTCCTAAGCGTTTTGTTTTTGCTTCGAAGTGAATTGCGTCGCGTTCTACAAGAAAATATAATGATGTATTTAAAATATTATGATAAATATATAATGTTTTTAATTATTTTTGTTATTATTTCTTAATATAATATTGGCAATTATCCTTTATACACATTTTTAAATTAAGGCTTTCTTCAAAGAATGATAAACTTTTATATTAAAATACGAGGAAACGATACGAAGCAACAAAACACAGCGCTTGGCGTTGCTTGACTTGACAATTGACGTTGACAGTTTGTGTACACCACCACAACCAAACCTCAAGAAGCTCAGCAGAAATATACTACACATAATATAATTGTTTATGTGTAGCATTAATTTATTAGCGATAAACATTAACATGGCTCAACAAAATACTGTAAGTATTGTGAACTCTTTGCCGTGATATATAAATTTACAGTAATGTTACAAAAGCTTGAGTCTTTGTCTCAAAGTCGCGCCAAAAATGTAAGACACCTGTAAAATTTTGTTTCAGATGAAGACAAGGGCCCTTGGTAAGAACGAAATACTCTTTCTGCTTGACTTGATTTCCAAGCAAAAAGTAATTACTACTAAAGCTACGAATGCCACAAATAATAAATTAAAGGAAGAGGCTTGGAAATCTATAGCGCAGGAGTTTAGTGCGATGGCGGGAGAATTGCGGCGTCCTGAGCAACTACGCTTAAAGTGGGAAAACTTAAAGAAGTCGTCAAGAAAACGCAATGCATTGATAAGACAAAATAATTTAAAGGTTTGTAATAAGTACATACATTAAATATTTTGTGACATTTTGTTAGATATACCTAATCATCTTAGAATTTTTTTTAATGTAATATTTCTATTGAAACATTTTTATTTGCAGACTGGAGGTGGAAAGATGTACATCCCTCCCGATGAAGCACTAGATCGTGTAACATCTATGTTAGGTGCAACATGCACGGGGTTCACTGTGGAATTTGGTGGTGATGGGGAAAGTGAAATGATTCCACCAGATGCAGTGGTGGAACTCATGGACTTACAACCTTTACCGGAGCATTCAGAAGCTGTAACTAGTGATTTGGTGATGGGAGATGGTGGTAGTGCTGAGTGTGGTGGTAATAGTGAGAAAATTTTCACACCAAAAAGATTTACTTTTAATAATCCTTACAAACCCTGTAAGTTGTAGCTGTAATACTTAACCTCAGTTGTTACTAGATAATTTATAATTTTGTACAACCAACTTCAATATAAATTATTAAGAATAACTCAAAAACTATTGGTCAGACCTTGATCAAATTTATATGAGACCACATATGAAGCACCAGCTTTTAAATAAAAAAAGAATCATAGAAATCGGTTCACCCAGTAAAAAGTTATGAAGTAACACACATAAAAAAAACATACAGTCGAATTGAGTACTGGCTCCTTTTTAAAGTCCGTAGACAAAACAGACCGCCTCTCTATGGTCTAGTAGTGTGATTGCTTGTTGCAGGTTTTGCTACAACTTTGTGTATTTTTTTCTGATTAATGAGGAAAATCTAAAGGCTTACCACTCAATTGTCTGACAAATAAGATAAATTGTGAAATAGGCTATAGTAGTTGGTTCTGGGTAATCTCTAATGTAGTTTGGATAGTAGTTGTTACTAATGTTTTTTTATGTCATCTCCTATGCCCGATCTCTGTGGTCATCAGTCATCAATTCTATCAAGCTAGGAGAGTGTAAAATATGAGAATTTAACTATGTTTTTTATTTTCACAGTAAAGAAACGCCAAAAACCCTCTGAAGAACTATTACGGGCTCAGATAAGCAAGGAATTAGCCATGGCTGCTTATTTTGAAGCCAAAACTGAAGTGGTTAAACTTGAAAAAGTTAAACTGCAGCTAGAAATAGAAAAATTAAACAAGTGACTTGTGATTACTATAGTACTAATGTTAAGATTTTGTAAATAGTGATAATAAGGTGTATTTTTTATAAATTATGTAATGTTTTTGTTAAGTTCATTCTAAAATAAAATCTATTTTATACATTGATTTTTATTTGACATTTATTAAATAAAATATATATTGAAATAAAGCACATTTATTCTAGTATAATTTAACATTATTTACACATTAAAATTCTTATATAATTAAACATAATTTAAACACTAAAATAATTATTAATTAGCTGTTGTCTGACACTGTGATTTTGTTGACCTATCCCTTCAGCATAGGTAATGTCACCTGATTCTTGCGGCATTGCAACTTCTGGATCTACATCTCTAATATTATTTAATCTGCAGATGTTGTGTAATACAGAAGTGGCAATAATAATGGCCTGTGTTGTCTGCATAGCTACACGGATTTTTAAAGAGAGTATTGGAAAGCGCCTTTTCCACACACCAAAACATCTGAAAAGTTACAAAGTATTTTATATTATATTCATGAAATTTAAAAAAAAATATTAATAAAATAATATTTACCTTTCAATAGTATTTCTAGTCTTTATATGTGCTTCATTGTAATGATTCTCTGCAACAGATGTGGGGTTGAGCAGTGGTGTCAAAAGATATGAAGTACAGGGATATGCACTGTCTCCAATAAGCCATCTATTGCCAAACAATCCCTCTTCACATTGCACTGAAAATAAATAACAAAGAAATATTAATCATGTTTATGTGATGACCTATTATTATAATCTTCTAGATAACTAAGTACCTACTTACTTTTTAGCCTAGAGTTGTTAAATATAGTAGCATCATGAGCAGACCCAGGCCAACGGGCAACAACATTCATAAATAACAAGTCTGCGTTACAGACTCCTTGGACATTCATTGAAAATATGCCTTTTCTATTTCTGTATTCTTCTCCTATATTTGAATCTGCAAAAATTATGACTGTTATTAGGTATAATCTATATAAATAAATGAATCTATACTTAATAATATTATAATAAAGAATTGTATGCATGTTTGTAGAAGTTGATCCAATTCTGGCCAAACTTGGATTAAGTTCTACGTTTGAGTTTCAGGTCACTAGATGGCCTACGAAAAAGATTCTACCTAGATCTACTTTATATAAATATTTATTTATTTGGTACTACTAACCAGGTGACTGTATGGGAACATGCGTGCAGTCAATTGCGCCAAGAATTCTTGGAAATTCTGCGATTTCATGAAAGGCATTCTGGGTATTGCTTAATGTCTTCACATATTGAGGGTATAAGCCAGCTATAGCCCGAGATACATGATGCACAATTCGGCTGGCTGAAGCTTTCGATACACCAATAAAGTCCGCTACTGATAAAATCATTGTTCCCAAGTGCATAAAATCTCAAGGTCAGCAACAACTGATGTAACGGCGATATTCCATTATTCCTAAAATGTTAAATATAAGTAAAAAAAATCACAATAACTGTCATTCATATTATGTTGGGTGGCATATTTCGACGATACATATAATGTAACCAAATTTTGTTCACAAGTTTCTTTACTCACCTTGAAGAAATTACTTTTAAGGATGGTGTTCTTTTCAATAATAACTCATCCACGGACGTTTTATTTAATCTAAATCTATATGTAAATTCAGAGTCAGAAAATTCACTTCTGTAATTTATTCGATTATAAAGTCGGCGATTTTTAGTATCTACAATACCTTCTGAATCAAAAACACCTATCTCATACATTTCATTATCACTTTCATCACTGAACAAATCCATTTTTTAGATATTAAATAGGTTTTATTTATTTAAAATCACGACAAATATTTGCTAACTCTCAAAATTGGGCGATAGACAAAACTCTAACATCTGGTAATTTGAACTATCGCCAGTTAACTGCCAATACGTTATTGAAACAGTCAGATGTTTTTTTCTATGAACCCACTTAACTCAGGTAGTCGGTAAACATTTCTATCTATCTTTGATTATTGAAACGGAAAAATGTAACTATAGATACCAATGGTAGCCATTTTAACTTCCAGTAAGACGTCCATTACACGGTAGGTTTTGCTGTCAGTTTTACAACAATCACGGTTGTGATTGACGAATAACCTATCGTGTAATGTAGTTATTGACAGTTGCATGAAATTGATTGACAAATATCTGGATATTTTGATTTTTACGTCAATCAACTATTCAGTCACGAATTTTGATTTAACGTGTAATGGCATTTCATCAATCACGCGTCAGTCAACGCTCAGACAGCAATGCAGGCGGACGCAGAATATATTGAAGAGGCGGGTTTCACGCGCTCGCGCAGCCCGTCGCCACTCCCGCCAAATGTGCTTCAGCCAGAAAAAGACTTTATTTTAAATTTTGAGGCTCTCCCCGAGTTGTGGGACACGAAAAACCTCGGGTAGGTTGGATGCCCCTAATACCCAGCCACGCCCCTAATTCCAGCCTTTCCGCCTTTTTACTTCGTAAATAATATTTCTAGTAGTCTTAACTACAAATATGGTCGGCTAAAAATTCTTCGTAATTAGAGGAAAGTATATTTCAAATATTACCTCACAGTTTTAAACCTAACAGTGTTAAATTAAAAATCAAAACATAAGCATATTTTACATTAGCTCATCTTAATATAAATCAGGGCTGTCATAAACTGGAATAAATACCATTAATTTGAACTCACACAGAAAACCAACGTAGAATAGCAGCTTAACGCTGCTGTGTTTCGTATGGTGAGTTTTCCTGGCAAAGAGGCATTCCATCTTAGTCCTCACGGGTGACAACGCATCTGCATCTTGAGTCTATATTGAGGATAGATGTAGATGTTTGTGGGTCATAGTAGCCACTTACCATCAGGTGGACTGTGTGCTCGTTTGTCACCCTATCCTATATAAAAAAAAACATAACTTATTTTATAGTTAAGTAAGTTATGGTCAATTCGTCTATATTTTAAAATTGGTGTTTGATTTAAAAGTTTAACAAATGATACGTACTTGCTTTTCAGACATTTGGTATATGTTAAGAACACCATACAATATTTAATTATTTTTTGGGAAAGACAAAAACAAACAATAAATGTAATTAACTACAACTTAGTAATACTAATTTTATTATAACTTAAGAACATAAATGAAAAAGTCATAACAAGGAAAGTGGTTCAGGACCATGCTTTGCGGCAGTCTATGGAGGATGATGTTCTTGTCGACTTGTGTCAGTCGACTTGTGAAGGGCTGAAATGATGATAAAGATTGTAAAACTTGGATGATTAAATTATAAGAAATCGGTGTACTATAATACATAATTTTTATTATAATATTATTTTAATTAATTGTTTAGTGTTAAAAGATAAAAATGTAACTGCTTAAAGCTAAACCACAGTAAGGTAAGAAGTAAAACATTAAAATAAAATAATTGTTGTCGTCTATCTTAATACATATTCCATACTTGTGACATGCATGATTTAAAATTAAAAGTTGTTGTGAATTTATTTCAGTGCCCCTAAAATTTACCTACAATAGGTACCTACCAAAAACTCAAAAGGCATAGCCCTATGCTATGCTGGCATTAGATACACAAAAGGAAATTGAAATTGGCACTAAAAGGCTGGTAATAGGGGCATCCACCCTATACGAATAAATGTAAAAGTTAAGCTTATTTTTCGTCCATAAATGCGTTTCAAATAAAGCCGCGTATCGATTATGCACTCCAAGAGGTCTAACATTTGCGCGCGTTAAATTAAAATGGGTAAAATGATATTAAATATTAAAATTTTTCCTATTCGTTTTGTTTCTTTTTCTTTTCAAGATATAAAATTATAATTAAATGGTGAATCGAAAATGAACTTAGGTTATAGGTACGTCCTTTCACTCCGAAAATTTGGGTTTGACTGACGATCAGTCAGCATGAGCGTGTAATGTCCAAATTATTCCATCATTCAAACCTCAGTCATGATTAATCGAACTGATTGACGCTTGCCTAGGCGTGTAATGGGCGTCTAAGAGATAGATAAGTTATTGAGACCGGCCGTAAGTAGTCTGTGTCTCTGTGTTAACCAATCTCATTTTCTCCATGCCCTGGTAACTTAAAACATTTTTTATTTATTATGAAAATCGCCATCTATCCCGCATACATGGAACTTTTTATTGCAGTGTTACCACTCTTTTTTTTTACTTGGAACACTTGGTACTTTAAAATAACTGATGATTTTGATATTTTTCTTTTATTGGTCCAGGTACACAAAAATAAATGATTTAACAACAGTATAATTTATTTTAAAAATATTTTATGCAACTAGTGATATTATAATTTATATAGTATTTATTACAGTTACGATCCTAGAATCTTTAGAGTAGTTTATTGATACCAAATTTTAACAACACTGAGTCTAACTAGAAGAAATTTCTGATGGCTCCAGTACACGTTGGCCGAGCGCGCTTGGCGAGTGCGCTCGGCAGATTTTCGTGGTGCCGTTCACACGTTGGCGTGTTTCATTCTGCGTTGGTAGCTAGATGATGATGGACGTTAGGGCAATCGCGGTCACTGTCATACTTATACAGCGCTTCACACTTCTCAGAGTGAACGAAAACTAAACTACACATACAACAATAATCCCAGTTTGTCCTTTTTAGGGTTCCGACCTCAAAAGGAAAAAATAAACCTTTATAGGATCTACTAGCTGACCCGTGCCCGCTTCGCTGGGGGTTTTTTCAAAATAAAAGATAGCCCAAAAGAAGCCCCTAACCTACATTATCCCTGAGCAACATAAACGCAGAGATAATTTATAATAATATTTATCATTAGGTAGGTACTCTGAAATCGCAACTAAACATGTATTATTTAATGCAGTTAGGCAAGTTACTCTGGTTTTATTTTTATGTTGCTCATGTTTGGGGTTTCATATAACTGATTCATTGTGAGGATCAATCAATGAACAATGAATCAATATTTCACTCCATAATTATTAAATCGTAATGTGTTGGTATGCATATAAGTAACATTAAAAATATATTATATTGAATTATATATTTTTTTCATAATATATAATATTTATTTATATATATACATGCGTATATATATATATATATATATATATATATATATATATATATATATATATATATGTATATGTATGTGTGTGTGTATATGTATATATTTGTATTGTATATGTATATTTATGTAAGTGCACACTTTGACTACCTCTTTTTCCTTCAACTATCCTTCAATAGGCCTGCTGGAAGAAATTTCATCAAGGAATAGGCAGTGCCTTTGTACATAATTATGTTTTTACCATTTTCCTATCAAATTATGTGTGTACATAAACTGTTAAATAAATAAATAAATATTTCCTCATTTGTCCATGTCGCCATGTTGAAACAATTTTATTAAGCCGACACTACAGTCTACTCCGACGCGTAACTATGAACTGAACACTCGGCCAACGTGTGAACACTGTTTGCGGCTTGCGCCAAATTCCTTTGATTTGTGCACGGAAAACCGACACTATACGGCTCGTCGGCGAGCGTTGGCCGCAAACGCCAAATATATACAAAACGGCCCAGTACACGTTGGCCGAGCGCACTCGGCGAGCGCGCTCGGCCAACGTGTACTGGAGCCATGAGAGTTTTGGCGGGAAATTGACCGGCGGCGGTTTGCTGCTCCTGTATTATTGTTTAAATAATGGTTTGAAGTGGACTTTGATATGTAAAAGTGTTGCGATTTTGTGTATTAAGTGTCTACGCATGTGAAATATTAGTGGAAACAGTGAAACAAGTGCTCTGATGGTGATGGATTCTCAAGATAAGCTGTTTGTTTGCATAGGCACCTTTAGATACCATCGCCAACTATCAGCTGTCTGCTGGATCAAGTTGCCGCCAAAATCTCCCAAGAACTGCACAATGTGACGCATCAACATATTGTGAAGCAGTATACTATGAAGGAGTGGGGAAATTACAATAAACCGAATAAAAATACTTAAGACTTGGCCTAAAGGTCTAGATACCAGGCCATAAACTCCAAAAAAAAAGAAGAAATTTCTCACCGGTGTGTTTGCATACTCGTGCGCATTTTTCTTGTAAATTTTGGTGTTTTTTGTGTTACTACGTTGAGTCGAGCTTCAGTTTCTTCGTATACTCCAGAAATACCGAAATTCCAGCATAGACTGTACTTTGTGAAAGTGTTTTGGACATACATGTTGATAGGCCCTCCGTAGGGAGTTTGGACCATATATCTCAGTGTAGTGTTATTTTACATTTTACACAATGCCTTGAAATATCTTCTGTGTTCCTGGGTGCCAAGTAGTAGCAGAAGATGGTGAGTAAAGTGTGTTTTTATATTCTGAAGTTTCATAATCTCAATAGTCTTTTAAACAAATATGTGTATTCTACGCTGGCTTATATTCCACGTGCCTAATACACCATAAACTGGTTAATCTGTTTTTAACAATTAAAAAGCAGTGAAAAACGACATGAAAATTTCTAAAATACCATTAGTTTCTATAAGGTTTTTCATTTAAAAATAATAAATGCTACATGTAGGTTCTTATTCTAGAATGATGCTCAAACACAGCTTTACTTGAGAATGATTTGAGTCTATCATTTCATACAAATACGTCACTAAGATGTGCTCAAGTTGAGATCGCCGCTGAGTGTCGTTCTAGAATACGGGCCGTAGTCTGTCGGCTCAGTTAACTCATAGTAAACCTTAGAGCAAGGACTAAAACATGATAAACAATCTTGACATGTCTTTTTTGTCAATTTGCATTTAAAAGTTGAGTTTCTTGCATGTTTTTCTCTATCGGAATCTACATTTTCGAACATGCACCTAAAGTCTCAACTTTCAAAAGTCAAATCAATAGGCTGATATGGTCTAAATGAATAAATAAGATTTGACTTAGATTGAAAAAATCTCTAAACTTACTAATAAATCTAAGACAAGCCACTGACCTAACTATTACATAGAGTTCACAAGAGGGTTTATATATATTTCATTTGTAAATTCTTAGATATTTGAAATGCAAGGTAAAGTGAAAAGACATAATTATATTATCAAGATTCTTTATCTGTAGTAAATAACCTAGACCGACAGAGAAAATGATGAAAATTAATAATTTAGTTGAATGTCCCTATGGTACAAAACGTCATCCTTGATATCAGATGATATATATGTAATTATAATAAACTCTCTCACATAAAATGTGGGTCTATACATCTGCATCTACCTACACCCCTTTAGCCGGGCTTTTGAGTTTTTGAAATTGTCTTTTATAACATTGCTAGTCTTTAGAACTCTGAACTAAGTGATCTAGAAAAATAATTATGATTAATTATTTTTATAATAACTTTAATAACTTAATTTATTTTACTATTATTAAATTACATTATTATGTATTGTAAAATAATGTAGAGTAACTTAGAATGATTAAAAATCACATTTCATTCAGGCCCATTATAGTCACTTTATTTTATTTTCAGGTGTACCTCTACATTACTTTCCATGTCCTGAGAAAGATGCAGAAAGGTTTCATAATTGGATAAAGATTATTGGAGGTGGTATTGTGAGTCTGGACAACACCTGTAAAACTCATAGAATCTGTCGTCACCACTTTCAGAAAGAGTTTCTTTACCCAAAAAACAGGCTTTGTAAATTGGCTGTTCCATCTTTGCTTTTACCCTCTGCAGGTGTATCAGGTAAATCAGTTTTTGATTAAGTTTATTTAATACTAGCAACTGTGTTAGTTTCACACAGGTTATAAATGAATGTACAATAAAACATATATTTATTGTACATTCATTTATAACCTGTGTGAAACTAATGAATTAAGTGAATTAACCAAAAACAATATAATATGTTTTTGCAATTTGTTTTAATTACAATATATTTAATGAAAGGTATGTGGGACATATTTTTGTTAGGCAACCCGGGAGTAATGTAGGTCATAATCATTAAACATTAATTTGAATTGAGTTTCAATAAAATTTAGTACCTACATTTTCTTTATAAAAATAAAATGGCATTATAGCCCAGCGGTCAAACACTTTCATGTAGGTTATGTGAGGAACAGAATTTGATTATTGATTACTTGTCTAAAGAGAGAAGGGGGTCATTACAGCTATTTACAATCTCAAACCGCGAGAGTCTCTTAGAGATAAATTTAAAGAAATAAATATATTAACTTTGGCCTCTCAGTATCTACGAAAATTTAATGTATGTTCACAAAAACAAAGATAGTTTTAGTAAAAAAAAAGTGATATACATTCTGTAAACACTAGGAATAAACACCAAGCTAGTGATGCCAATTTCTCGACTCCACAGAGTCAGTAATTCATTCTTGGGGCAATGTATACGCTATTACAACAAGGTCCCAGAAAGTGTACAGGTTCTCTCTGTTACCAAGTTTAAATGTTTTATTAAACTGAAACTGTATAAAAAGGGTTATTATAGTATAAACGAATACATGGTTGATAATAACCCCTGGGAATGAGGTGGTCGCTTCCAAGCAGTTTCTAAAATAAATTTTGTAAATAGTTCGTAATCATTTATATTGTAAAATTTATTTTAAAAAAAAAGTCCCGCTGGGTTTCTTGCTGGTTCTTCCCAGGACAGAGGGTTTTTTTTTCGAACCAGTGGTAAAGTAAAAAATGACTTTCAATAAGAATTACACATGTAATATATATTGAATAAAAAATTATTCTATTCTGTTCTATTCTTGCGTTAACAGTGCTGGAAAACATTGGGAGAAAACCTCCACACCTGAGAGGGCCTCATAAAGTTCTCAATGTGAGTGTAGTCCGCTAAACCACATCAGGGCAGCATGTGGACTAAGGCTTAATCCTTCTACTTCTGAGAGGCCTGTGCCTAGCAGTGGGACAGTAATGAATTATTATAATCAATATCAGTAGGCGAAAAATAATTTGTATGATGCATGTTTTATGTGACACATAATGTACACTTGGTGTGAAATGTCTCTCAACATTCTCCAGTAGTTCAGGATGCCCCAATAAAAAAAGCAAATACAATTATTTAATACTTATATATATTTAACATATAATTATAATTTCTAGAAAGTGGGTGCTTGCCAGAGGAAAGTGTGGACACTGCACATTTGATAATGCTGTTCAACAACCTGTTCGACTCAAATTAACATAAAGAAGAAGGTAAAATATGCAGATCTGCTGTCACACCAAACTCATCCCATTTAAAATTATGGAAGAAAACATTACCCATTTTAAGGTCAATGAAGTATATAAATAATAATAGTAAAGAGGTAACTGTACCATTTCTAACCAGTTGGGTAAACACTATAGAAGGTTTTAAATTAATAACAAATAAGTTAAGGGCAGAAATTATCAATGAACATTTAAATATTGATTTAATAAATACACAACAAATTCTAGAAAGCCGTACCAAAGTTCATGTAGAGAAATGCGCGGCCATAGCTTATTGTAGTGGGTGGATAGCAATCAAAACAAAAAAGTTTATATTTAAAAAAATGTAAAACATGTCAAAATAATTTAACATAATCAAATAATGCAGATTTCCACAATTTTATAATAAAAAAGAATATTGTGGCAAAAGATGGTTATGCTATCCTACCCGGTCATTGTTTGACTTTTTTGCACCAGTAGAACACATAACATGGAATATTTTAAATAGATATGCACATGTAGAAAACATTGTTAAATATATCATGCTGTTTATATCAGTCCACATCGACTTAAATTTTATGAAATGTGAAAAACATTAAGAAAATTTAAAGAAATATTTGGTCCATAAAAGTGTTGTGTTCTTCATAATTACTTGGTGCAAAGAAGTCAGCAATATACTTAATAGCAAGAGCTATTATAATTTATGTAATGATAGTGGTGAAAATGTCTCCATTTTTCCTACGGGCTTGAGAACATTACAATAAAACAAAGGGTGCGAAACGAGAGACAAAAAGGCGTCGAAATTAATGTATTAATGTATAATTAATAAATTCATTGAATTATATATTTTTGTATTATTTATCTCATTACCTTTACCCGAATACACAAAGATACTTAAATTTGTGTCTAAAAACATCCCTAAAAATATGCTTACTTCAAAACACTGTTTAAGTATCTAAAACGACATATAAATAATATGTATAGGTACTTACGTATGAATTGCCGTTTTATTTATAGATAAAATATTCTATCTATAAATAAAACAGCAATTCATACGTAAGTACCTATACATATTGCCATATACGCAACTACATATATATATATATATATTTAGTTCATTGCTTGGCGTTCAGAGGGCGCTGAACGGTAACTAAATATGAAAACTTCAGTTGCCAGTCTATCTCCAGTATTATATATTAGTCTATGATTTTCTCAGAGGGAAATATTTTCGTACATAATTAAAGAAAAAGAAATTCAATTAAAATACATAGTGTTTTACCATTAAGTATTACTCTTGTTTTTAAATAGCTGCTCTAATCATGTTGTCATTATGTTGAACTATTAAAAATCGAAAGTCACCCACAAATAAACTGTTTCGTCAACTGATAAAAATAAACAAGATTTCGGCGTATCTAAAGATGAAAATCAATGAAAAGAATCTTTGTGCTTTCGCATCATCAGCAACTCCAGTCGATCGGGAGGGTTGGCTTGACATGCGATGTGAAGTAGGCAAAAGCTATCAACGACGGTGGTTTACACTAAAAGGCAATCTTCTTTTTTATTTCGACAAGAAAGCTGACAAAGAGCCTGTGGGAGTAATTATTCTTGAGGGATGCACTATAGGTAAGTTGGATTTTATGTTCTGTTTGACTTATTGCTTATTACTTAACAGATTTTTTTCATTCAGTTTGAATGTGCCAACGTACTAACTTGCTTCGCATGTCGTAGAAGGCGTCTAATGGGATATTGAGTTTGTGATTGTATAGGATATTGGCTAGCCACTCATTGTTTCTTTAATAATTTTCCTTCTAAACACATATTTCTTACTTAATGTGGTCGGAGTAGCTTGCTGCTCTGGTTCTGCCTACCCCCTTCATTGCAGGCGTGATGTTGTGTGTGTCTGTATGTTACATTTAATCATTCACATTGCTAGCATCAGTAAGTAGGTAGCAGTTAACTTTACTGACTAGTGGACAGTGTTTATTTGTAATTATTACCTACATACAAAAACATACTGATATAGCTATTGTAAATGCTTGAATTGTTATAATTTCCTTTTTTATAATTTTTGATATAAAACTTTATTTCATTTATTATAGAGCTGACAGAAGAAGAATCATACAGCTTCAAAATAGTGTTTCAATGTGAGGGTGGTCGCACATACTATTTATGTACAAATTCACAAGCTTCAATGGAAGCATGGATGAAAGCTTTAGCTTGTGCTAGTTATGATTATATGAAGCTTATGGTGGCTGAGCTGCAGAGGCAGTTGGATGAAGTGCAAGGTAAGAGTTACTTTTCTCAATGGTAAAATTTGTTTTAAAATTCATTTATAATGTTATATGCATCTGATCATGGCACAAGAGAGGGTTTCTTATAGTTCCTACTATTGTGGAAGTCCTACTGTGGACAGGAGATCTACCAATTAAGTTTTATCATCATCATTATCATTACAGCTCTTCATAAGTTCACCGCTGAACATAGGGGCCCCCAAGGAATATATCTGATCCACCTGTATCCATCCAACTTCTGTCTTACCAGGTTATCACTCCATCTAGTGGAGGCTGCCAATTGAATCTTTATTTTCCATTCTATGCTAGGTGCTATTGATATCTACATTGTAATTCTACCTCCAAGAGAAAGTCCGAACATAGCTCTCTTCATAATTTGGGTGACCTTAAGCTTTCTCATACAATTGTTTATAAGTTAATAATGACAACAAATTATCATTAATATTTTTATAACTGATATAAATTTGCATATAATTCTTCTATTTAAAAAACAAAAGCTTTACATAAGCTAGGCATTTGTCTTAAATTCATAGTACATATATAATATTATGTAAACAAACAAAAATTTTGTTGTCTTCACTAGTTTTAGATTATGCATTTAAATGATTTACTAATTTGTGCTCAGAGGTAAAGGAAAACATGCTGACACAAGTAGTAAAATTAAAAATTTTGTTCAACCAGCTTCAATGTAAATCAAATGAGAATAACATCTATATAGTCGAAGTCAATTAAATACGCATTATTAAGGATAACTCAAAAACTATTGAGACCACATGAGAAGCACCAATTTTCAAATAAAAAAGAATCATAAAATTAGGTTCACCTAGAAAAGTTTTGAACACACATAAAAAAATACAGTCAAATTAATTACCTCCTCCTTTTTTTGAAATCGGTTAAAATATACCTGTTATACCTGTACTTGTTAGTAGTATAAAGGAGGGAGAATCATAAGAGTAGTTATAAGCTAAGCTCTATTTTAGTATCTTGTAGATATAGTTATAGTCTTTGCGTTATAACATGGCGCGGGTGACAGCTGACGCCTATAAAGTTTCGTAATTTTTTAGATAAACTGTCATACAGATATTGTTGTACATCATGGATGGGTACCGCCCACTTAAGACAGTGATGTGCCACGCTAAACTATGCCATGCCATAACAAACAACCACAGACTATCAAAAATTGGTTTTGAAATAAATCGAATATATAAAAATCACGTAAACATGTATTGGAATTGGAACTAATCGTTCAACAAATTCAGATTTACGGAAACAAACTCACATAGACGAATATGCAGTGTTTCCGATGCATGGACGATAAATTATTTGTTGGTCAGCTCAGGCAAAAAAAATAATTATGAAGTAAATTACGCTTTTTGTCAAAAAGACCTTATCATAACTCATGGCGGCCAAAATGGCTACAAAAAACCAATTTTTTATTTTTATTTCATTAGATTTATAAACCAAATTCTCGATTATTTTTACCTTCCGTCCCGATATTTGGCTCATTGGAACTGGCAAAACGAATACACATATAGCAAAAGGTGCTAGCACTCGCACCTTGAAAAGCTGCAGATGCAGTCTACGCCGTACTGAAAATTACAGATGCTGGCAGCCATTTTATTTGTTTAAATGACAATAGGAATGTTGTAATCAACATGAAATAGAAGATGATTTTAATTTTGAAATTAATACATAGTATAATATAATCAATACATTAAAATGTCTGTATGTAATATCAAAATAACAGCCTTTTACTAAATACATATGAAATTATATACGGTATTTATAACAAAAAGACTAAAACTATTTTTAAAATGTTTTTCTTACTGTCTGTTTGTTCCGGTTTATAGCTGGCACTGACAGATACCTGATGTTATAAGGAGTAACACAGGCTAATTTTAATTTAGAAACAAATTAGGATTCCGTGTAAAAAAATTAAAACCCATGAAATCTGATCGTAATAAATACCAAGTGGGAGAGGTCCAGGAACAGCTATTATGTAACTATTATGTGATAATTTGTATTAAACTTTAACTTAATTTTACATGCATTGTAGTTAATAAAGAAATATATGTTTAGGTTTTAATTTTTATATGGATAGCTAATCGATAATTTTTGCTTTGCTTTGTGTATTGTTAATCGCCGTTTTTAAATCGATTTAACAATGTGCCATCTCTAGACACGCCAAAAGTGTATGCTCTCACCCACACCATGTTATAACACAAAGACTATAGTTACTTTTGAGGAAATAAATATCTTAACTTGGCCCTCTTGATGAATTGATGATTTTTTACAGAACAATATATCGTAAATCATCATCATCATCATTACAGCCTTTCATAAGTTCACTGTTGAACATAGGCCTCCCCCAAGGAATGTCACAAAGCACGGTCCTGAGCCAACTGCATCCATCGACTTCCTGCATGTCTTACCATGTCGTCACTCCATTTCGTGGGGGGTCGCCCTACACTTCGCCTACTGGTACGAGGCTGCCACTCAAGAACCTTTCTTCCCCATCGGTTGTCGGTTCTTCGAGCTATATGGCCGGCCCACTGCCACTTCAGCTTACTAATCCGTTGGGCTATGTCGGTTACTCTGGTTCTACTGCGGATATACTCATTTCTAAGTTTATCACGCAGAGAAACCCCGAGCATAGCCCTCTCCATAGCTTGCTGAGCGACCTTGAGCTTCCTCATACGGCCAGCAGTGAAGGACCACGTCTCAGATCTGTAAGTCATCACTGGCAACATGCACTGGTTGTACAATTTCGTTTAAAGGTTTTGAGGTATACCTGACGAGAAGATGTGCCGTAATTTCCCGAACGCTGCCCAACCGAGTTGAATCCGTCGATTGACCTCTCGGTCAAAGTTGGACTTACCTAGTCGGACTATTTGTCCCAGGTAAACATACTCGTCAACAACTTCGAGCTTAGTGCTCCCAACAACTACCGGCATAGGTGTGACATGGACATTAAACGTGATCTTTGTTTTGTCCATGTTCATCCTAAGACCTATTTGTTGGGAGACACTATTGAGGTCATTAAGCATGGTGCTTAGGTCCTCCAGCGATTCTGCCATAAGGACTATATCGTCGGCAATTCGAAGGTGATTGATGTACTCGCCATTGATGTTGATACCGTATTCTTTCCAGTCCAGAAGCTTGAAAACGTCTTCCAATGCAGCGGTGAAGAGTTTCGGGGATATAACATCACCCTGTCTTTTACCTCTCTGCAATTGGATAGGTTTCGTACTCTGGTTATGTACTCGGATAGCCATCGTAGCTCTACTGTACAAACACTTCAGCACTTCGATATACCGACAGATAACTTGGCACCGCTGAAAGGACTGCAGCACCGCCCAAATTTGGACGGAATCAAAGGCTTTCTCATAGTCCACATACGCCAGACATAGTGGCAAATTGTACTCCTCAGACTTCTGTACAATTTGCCGAAGGGTATGTATGTGGTCTATGGTGCTAAAGCCCTTTTTGAAACCGGTTTGTTCGGGAGGTTGGAAGTCGTCAAGTTTGCGCGCGAGACGATTCGTAATGACTCTCGAAAACAGCACGTAGACGCGGCTCAGAAGGGTAATCGGTCTGTAGTTCTTCAAGAGAGCGTTGTGACCTTTCTTGAAGAACAAGACCACCGCACTTCTGCTCCACGCCTCCGGTGTAACGCCACCATGGAGGACGGAATTAAAGAGCTTCTGAAGGACTTCAAGGACCGGTCTTCCACCCGCTTTCAGAAGCTCCGCTGTAATTACATCCTCGTCTGGGGTCCTGCCGTTTTTAAGGTGCTGGAGAGCCATTCTAATCTCGCTCAGACTGACGTCCGGGATATCTTCGGAGTAGTGTCGGATAAGACTCGCTCTTGGATCGTTACTCACACTTGCGTGTTGCTGCAACGATGACGTGTACAGCTGCCCATAGAACCTCTCAATCTCACTCAAAATCTCAGGTGCTCCGGAAACGATGCTGCCACATTCGGTCTTCAGCTTTGACAGTTGGTTCTTTCTGGCAGACAGATCTCTGGCAAAGACTTTGGAGCCTTGGTTCCGCTCGATCGCTTCTTCAATACAAGCGATATTGAAGTTGCGTAAGTCCCGCCGCATGCATTTGGAGATCTGTCTGTTCAGTTGCCTGTATGCTGTCAAATCTGTTGAATAATGTAGCGTCATCTCCCGTCTAACAGCCATGAGATTGAGAGTGTGATTGGAGAGTTTTTGTGTTCGTCTGCGGCGGGTCTTGCAGAACTTAGCTCCGACCGCATGGACAGTTTCCACGAGCTTGTCATTCATATCGTCCACTTCATTGCAGTCTTCTAGGCACTGAAAACGGTTTTGTAACTCGAGCTGAAAGGTTTCGGGACTTTGGAACAGAGCACGAGGACGGAGCGTTCACTTCATTAGACGAGACCTCTCCAATTTAACGTTTAGGTTCAGTGTGCCTCTAACCATTCGGTGATCGCTACCAGTTTTCACCCTCGCGATCACGGAGACATCACTGAACAGTTGTCGTCTGGTCGTCATAATGAAGTCAATCTCATTTTTTGTCGAACCGTCGGGGCTCGACCAGGTTCACTTCCTGTGGGGCCGCTTCTGGAAGAAGAGTTCATCATAAAGAATAGAATAGAATGATTTTTATTCAATATGGATTATTACATAATACTTATTGAAAGTCATTATTTTATTTACCACTGGTTCGGAAAATACCTCTGTCCTGGGAAGAACCAGCAAGAAACCCAGCGGGACTTTTTTTTTAAACATAATTTCACTTAACAATAATTTTGTTTATACAATTTTAAATGAATTTTCATAGAACCAGCATGGTGGCGATCACCTTATTCCCAGGGGTTATTTTCATTCATGTATTCCTTGATATTATAATAACCCTTTTTGTACAGTTTTTCTTTAATAAAACTTTTAAACTTTTTTATTGACAAACTTTGTACATGTTCTGGGATTCTGTTGTAAAAGCGTATACATTGCCCCATAAATGAATTACTAATTCTGTGGAGTCTTGTAAGTGGCATTACAAGCTTATGTTTGTTCCTAGTGTTTAAGGTATGAACATCCTTATTCTTATTAAAGCTATTTATGTTTTTATGTATATACATTACATTTTCATAAATATATTGCGATGCCAAAGTTAATATGTTTATTTCTTTAAATTTTTCTCTAAGGGACTCTTTACAATTTAGATTATAAATCGCCCGTACGGCTCTCTTTTGCAAAACAAATATAGCTTCAATATCAGTCGCATTACCCCATAGCAAAATTCCATAAGACATTACGCTATGAAAGTAACTAAAATACACTAACCTAGCTGTCTCAACATCTGTGAGACTTCTAATCTTTCTTACAGCATATGCTGCAGAACTAAGTCTGCTTGCTAATTTAGATATATGGGGGCCCCATTGAAGTTTCGCGTCAATAGTAATACCGAGAAAAACAGTGGTATCCACAAGACTCAACTCCTCCCCATTTAAGAGCACATTGGTTTTCGAATGTTTTACATTAGGTATTGTAAATTTAATACATTTTGTCTTATTGCCGTTTAAGAGCAAATTGTTGGCGTTAAACCAATGTACTAGTTTCGATAGAGCATTATTTACATCGTCATATTTAATTAACTGCCGTTTCAGTTTGAAAATTAAAGAGGTATCGTCAGCAAATAATACTATATCGTGATTGTCCCCTACAAGATAAGGTAAGTCATTAATATAGATTAAGAACAGGAATGGGCCAAGAATCGAGCCCTGAGGAACGCCCATTGATACTACTGATCCGGAGGAACATTTACCATTAATGACGACTTTTTGAGTTCTGTTACTTAAATATGAAGTAATAAGTTTAAGCGCCAAATTTTTTTTTTCCCTCTCAAGAGTCTTCTCAAGAGTCCCTCTTTCCCCATGCAGTCGGCCAGCTGCTGGCCCCTTGGATTCCGTTGCCCTATTCCGAATTTCCCTACTTTCAGCTCACCGTTCTCTCTTGTGCCTAGGTTTGCGTTGAAGTCTCCCATTAACACCATATAGTGGGTTTTGGAGGAATGCATGGCTCTAGAGATATCCTCATACATTTCCTCTACCTCCTCATTGGGGTGTGCCGAGGTTAGTGCGTAAACCTGTATGACCTTCAGTGAATACCGTTTGGTGATTCTGAGTATAAGGTACGCAACCCTCGTCGTCACACTCTTTACAACGTTGTTAACGAGAGACTTGTGGACGATAAATCCGACACCTCCTTGGGACAGATGGTCGCCCTCCCGGTGATAGAGCAAGTTGCCGGATTCGAGGATTACCGTGTCCTCCCCCTCTCTTCGGACTTCGGATAATCCTATAATATGCCAGCGTAACTTGTCTATCTCTTCTTCCAGCTCCACGATTTTCTCGTCAGTCCTCAGGGTGCGTGAATTATATGTTGCCAGGTCGAGTCGTTTTAGGTGGCAACCGAACCTCCACCGGAGATTCTTAGCACCCTCTGCCCCGCTGTTACCATCGTCGCCACCGTAGCCAGGAATAGCGGGGCCGCCGGGGACTGGGGGCCGTTTCTTTGTTACTCTCATCATAGGGGGGTATTCGCAATAGTTGCCACGCTTGGCGAGCGGGTTGGCAACCGCAGTATTTTTATTGTAAGTTTGTTGTTATCAGGAAGATGCTGCTGCCCATCTCCTGCCTGTTTCCCTTTGTCGCCTTTTACGACACCCACGGGAAGATATGGGACAGTGGATATTCTTAACCGCCACTACACGGCCGTAAATCAATTTAGTGTCGTAAATCAATTTATTTAAAATAGGAAATAAGTTGTATTGGAAAAGAAAGTTCTGCTGGATTGTTTGCTGTTTCCTGCAGCACGAAATATTTGGTTTTAAAATGGTAGTAGATATTAAAAATTATAAGACTTGTCTTTTCAATCTTACAAAGTAATTTAAAATTTATTTATTAAAATTTATACATAGATATTAATAGAAAATTATAAAAAAATAATAAAGTAATAGATTTATTTATTAAAATGTGTTATTTTGTGGTGTGAAAAATTAAATTTTGAAGATGGCATTTCTAGCTGAGGAAGCAGCCGAAGCTGCCGCGCTAGTGGCGATCCCTGGACCTGAAAATGAACCAAAAGTACCTCCCCGTGGACAACGGTACAACCCATTCAACCGTATTCCTGATGGGGAAGGCCAGGGTAATGCAGTTCCTGGAAGTAGACGTCGTAAGTATTGATGTAGCTGGACATTTGTGTTCCACATTCCTCAGCCCTCACTTTAACTACTAAATTGTTTATAGCATTTGTGCATGTAATTTAAATTTTGATGATTCTAATTTATACCTATCTCTCAATGTTCATTGATTTATTCAGATATCTGAATGATCTTTTTTGCAATTAGACTGGGAATGGTGCAGAAATGGCAATATTTTTTAAGGATTTTTTGAAATTGTTGTAAAAAGTGTTGTTGTTAAAAGTGTAATTTAATACATTAGTTACAAGTTATTATAACACTTTTTTACAGATAAAATTTTCGAGGGGTTGCCTTTTCAAATTAATTCTTAAGTTGAAAATTAGAATTTCGAACCTCACATCTATTTTTAGATATCTGCAAGATGTTATAATGATGCCGAATTTCAATCATCTCCAGCAAGTTATTGTTGATGAGTAATGCTTATCGTAATATATAGGTGTAAGAATTACCACTACCCCATATTGTCCCGAGGGTGGCGTAAGCGGCGACAGAGGGAAAATAAAGGGAGGGAGACCTATGTTCAACAGTGTACTTTTATAGACTGTAATAGGTGGAAGGCCAACATGAAAAAGGATGTTATTCAGTTTTGGGTAGTAGGCAAAGAACTCGGCGACAAATCCCGGTCCCAGAATTCGATTTAAATGAATAATAGTAGTTATAATATTGTGCATGATTCCGACTACAGCCACAATTTTTTGAAAGTACATTTTGGATTAAGTGTAGGCGCCGACATAGAGGCACTCGCATCAAACCCCCAATTGTGTAAGTTATTCGATAAAATTATGTTTTTTTGCACAACACATCAATTCCAATACAATACCATCAAGGTGACAATTTCAATACATCCAGACTTGATCGAAGGCCGATCTTTATGATTGTCACAGATTCTGATCATGTGTATGCCATAGTTCTCATGTGTATGCCATAGTATCTTATATTACAGACAAGGAAAATGTTCGCGCCGAGTTGCCCCGTAAAAAGGTTCCGTTCCGCGACATCCACACGGCGCACGGACGCAAGATCCTCGCACACCGCAGCGAGTGGCGCGCGCGGCTTCGAACCCGACACCGCGAGCCCGAAGCGCCGCTCATACAGCTTTGAGGATAATCTGATCACAGAGTGTGAAACAATTCTATGCTAGAATAGAGAGTTATACGTGAGACAGTTGTTCCTTTAGTCTTATAAAAAAATATACCTAAAAGTGACCTAGTAGTGGTGATGAAAGAATATCATCCTGGGAGTGTCGTAAGAGGTGACAGAAAGAAACAAGCAGCGTCTTCCTTGAAAAACTAAAAAATATCTGCGATTGCCAACCATCTTGTATAGCATGGCCACTGTTGCAAATATCCCCCCTATGAGGCAATCTATGAGGGAGGATTCTGTTCTGTAACAGTAGTCTGCATACAGTACTTGCATAGAATGTTGGTATATGCAATATGCAAATGGAGTACATACTATTTTTAAAATTGATAGAACATCCAATAAAGTGATATGTTCATTAAACTTTCTTAAAAATGAGATTACATAATGGTTAGTAATCAACACAATTAGCTAGTTTATTAAGCTATAGTAACCAATTAGTTTATATAAAATTTCTCAATTGAAATATGCGTAAGTTAATACACCTTCCATTTGACTTCGCACATTTTCAAATATCTTCGCATATCAAGTGCGTTAAAAATGTGCCAGAATATTTTTTGCAAAATTACCAGTTACATAAGGAAAACTTAAATGCATTCACTCACAAGTTGGGAGCATTTAAGATTTATTTCAGTTTATAATTTATAATCTCAGTAATAGTTCAGGTTTACTGAAGTCAAATTATTAATATCAAAATTTTAATAATTAGTACAGTACCTGGTAGTAAACCCATCGAGCTTTGGAAAGAAATAATCAGCTAACCACAGCGTCGTAGAGCTACGTCTCTGTCACTCATATTTGTGTGATTTATTGTCGGTGACTTGTCCGTTGTTCAAGATTTATAAAAATATAGAAAAAGAAAATGATTTATTCTTATTTTTAGACGTTTATATTCAATTACACAAAAAAGGAATTGTTTTAACAGCTCCTAATAAATGGCGGACTGTTTGCGCTGTTCCTTATCGCACAGTACGAATTTGGTGGAAGGGGGCTAGGCGAGAAAAAGTTAGATTTTTCCGCCACAACCCCCTTTCTATAATGCGAACGAGATAGAATAATATCCATCTCGCTTGCACTTTTTCTTATCTTGCCATGAAAGTAATACTTCATTTTAAGACGCTTTTAATTTATTTATTTGTTTGTTAATTTGCTAATTATTAATAATATGTTTATCAATAATAATATACTACAAATAGAACTTCGTTCCAACCGAGTGTTCCACGATACTTACGCATGTTTTTTAAAATTAAATAATATAACAGTACACTATTACAATAGCAAGATGCTGCTAAACTCCATTATTTATCTTCACAGTTTTCGTCACTTGCTGAAATCGATCTCACTTATGCATGAGTGCTCGGAACCACAAAGTTAGTAATATAAGTATTAATAGCACCAAGCATGTTTACATATTTAACTTTCTAACCGGTTATGTGAATATAATACATACTATAATACTATAATACAATACAATAAAGAAGCTCTACAAGGCCGAAGCTAGTTGATTATCTATACCAAAGCTCGATGTGCCGGACTAATGAAGATGGACATTAGTTAATATATCTATTGACACTTTTATTTATAATTTTATAAAACATTACATGTAAAACCTGATGTAAAATAGTAAAAACTAGTCCACACAAGATCTATAGAGCAATTCCCAGCTGTGAACTGGCTGTAACTATGAATCAAATACATCCTCTAACAAGGATCGTCTTTTAAAAAGTGATCTGATGAATATTGTAAATATTTTTAATATTTCTCTTAAATAAGTATTTATATGTGTTTGTTAAAACATTAAATAAAACGATGATATTTGTATTAAGTAGTTTATTTTAAAAATCTTTGTTATATAGACCAACACTTTACAATGCAACCAACTAAATTAAAACCGAGATAATAATGCATAAAAGTTGATACAGATGCCGGATGCCGGGGCAACAGTGACTTAATTCACACAGATAATGTTATAATTACTCCAACCAAATAAGATTAAAAATTATTTTTATACATCAATTGGAATTAAAAAAGACAAAAGAAAGGAAATAGTGAATAAAGCCACTTTTGGTCTGGTTACCTTTTAGTAGTCACATGTAAACGATAGCACGTCGAAACAAGCACAACATCGATCGTTTTGGTATTTAATAATATTGAGCAAATTGCAGCTACTTTACAATGTGATGGCGAAGTGTAATCCTAGTGGCCAAGCCGTTACTAGAAATCTGGATACAGTGGGATACGGTGCAAGATTGCCCAAAGCACAAACCTACACAATGTCTCCACTCTACTTTTTTTCCAAATTAACCTAACAATATTCAAACTTTACTCGCTTTTCGACGTTTCATTCCGGAGGTGAGACACTATACATAACAATGTGAAATCATATGTAATAAGACATGGAAGACAGACTATAAAATGCCCAGTTTGGAAAAGTAACATGGTAACAAACGAGTCAACACACAGATACGTAGGGTTAAGTGATTTATGTCAAACCTTATCTATATAACAGTGTTAATGTTTAAAACAAAATTATGCCTCTATATATTTTACAGAATGTTACAAAACATCTTTTGATGCTATTTGTATATATTTTTAACACAAAGACGTTACTAAAGAATTGACAGACTGCATTTTAGTAACTTTGCATTTAAGTTCATTAATAATGATAAATAAGGAGGTCTGTGAGGTCAAAAGGCGGAAAAGATTAAGCATCATAAAAGGAAATGAAAAAGGGATTTTTTGAAAGAAAAGTACATAAAAACAAATCCAAGAAAAGATCGTAAATGTTTTATAACATTCTGTATATAAAACGTGCTATAAAATTCTTTAAAATTTCATACTTCACGTCTAATACACTCAAATGCGCATAATATAATATTATGTAAATCTATGTATAAATCTACAAAAATAAACAGGGGCCATTAAAACTAAATTGTGACACTCAATTTAATCCGATTGTTCCGAATACATTGACCACTTCACAAAAGACATTCGTAAGTAAGTAAACATAGAAGGCAATGTAAGACGGCCAACCGGACGGGGTGCCGTGTCAACGAATAATGTCAATAGAACTCATAAATAAGATATATTTGGTAACAAACTCCTTAAATGATAAACCAGAGTATCACTTCACTAGAACACAACTGGTTACGATAGTATAATAGAGGAAACGTTAGTATTTACACAATGTTACACATCTCTTTTATATAACGCGATACGATCACTAACCTGACTGTCTAACGCTAAATAAGAATAGTTATACAAGATATAATAAACGATAAACATCAACTGCTTATCATATGTGTCATACTCAATATAAACATTAAAAAATATTTTAGTAGTGACAACACTGCATTTAATTTGCTTTATATATTTGTATGTTTACAGTTAATATAAGAAATAATGTACACTTAGTGAATTAAGTAAATAAAAACAATGCAAACAAAAGTTATATACATTTTATGGTGGGTGGGAGTTAAAAGTTCTGGCCACTTCTCATAGAAAAAGGTAATTTTTGGTCTTAGATATTCTTAACTAAAAGCGCACGTGCATCTGTGTCACTGTTAATAAATGTTAAATTGGTATAAAATACGATCACTATGTAGTTCTAAAATTTCATATAGTTATTTTATTTCAAAACATATCAAGTAAAAAATGAGTGATCTTCAACTAAAATTAAAGATTTACATATTTCATAAAACTATCCAAGTCTATTTTGTAAAAAGTTTATCGATATAACAATATTAATACAATTATTTATCTTATGTGATGATTTAAATTACATTTAGATATATTGATAATGAAGCAAAGTGGCCAGGTGCTAGCGTGGTGGGCGTGTCAAGTTGACATGTGTGTTTGGCTCGACGACAAATCATACATTGAAAACTCAACCTTATCATTATACACTTATAAGTAATTTTATTAAATAGTCCGACATAATCATGTAAATAAAAATCGACTCTAAGAAGAGTACATAAAGTAATATTTTCTTTGATTAGGACACTGTTGTGCCCTTTTTGAGATTTGTGAGCTTTATTGTCATAAGGTAGTCCGCGCAGTTCATGGCACAGAACCAAATTTACATCTCGAAGAGTTTCTTGCGTTCAGCGACCATGCCAGCGAGCGGTGTAGTTTTTAGTTCTGTCAGAAATAAACAAAGTTGTAAATTATCGAATAAAAGTAATTTTTATATGTATAAAAACTATATTCTATATGGGACCACTCTATACTTATGGCCTCCGGACACAAATCTTCCGTGGAAATGCCTGCGCATACCCACCTCGTTGTTTGGTGACCTCTGCATGGGATAGGCACAAGGTGCGGCTTCCTACACGGCCTTATCTCCACATAAAGGCCGGGCATGTTTTATACTAAGTTGTTAATAAAATTCATTACACCAACGTGGCAGTGCAACACTGTAGTTATATTATGGCTGCAGTACTAATGGGTCGGCTGGACCGGAGAAGGACCGCGTTCTCAGAGGATACTATCTTAAAATAGCAAAATGGACCTGGTAACGACGCATTCTATCTTAGTCCTCAGAGGTGAGAACTCACAATTTGATTCTCAGATGTAGGTGTGTTTAGGCCAAAGCATCTTCTTACCATCAGATTAACTGTGCTCGTTTGCCACCCATAAGCTAATAAAAAAAAATTCACAAGGTGGTGTTGACAGGTTTTCTTAAGTTAACCCCACTCAAATATCATTTATTTCAATAACATAAATATAATATATGACATGATATATACCTGTACGGGCGATAGTTGTAGGTTCCTTGTGTCGTTGTTGGCGAACTGCAACTTGGGCCGCGACCGTCCCTCTATCAGACCGCTCGGCTTTGACGACTTCGTCTGAAATTTATATAAACTTGCAATTTGTGATGTTTATTGCTAAAGGCGTGAAAGTTATTATACAACATGTAAGCCATACACACTTTTAGTTTGAGGAACTTGTCGGTACCTGGGACCAACAAACAAATAGAGACAGCACACTACGTCCATTACAAGTCGAAACCTTGATCTACATCGCATTTAATCACACGTCTTGTTTATTTTTTTATTAGTCCGTATAAGTCCACAGACGGACACACACATAAGCAACTAAATCATGTTATTGGTTGAAAATGATTTTAGATGCATGTGTGCGTGAGTGCGTGTTCTTATAATTAAACGTCACTTGAAAGATACATTTTGTTCGTAAATTTTTTGTTGATCAGAGGTTGATATGCGATTGGAACTAGGTTTTGATTTGCAAATTATTTCCAAACAATAGTGTTACATTCCTCATTAAGGACAATGTTTTAAAAGTAGAGAAATAATGAATTTTTCGAACTCAATATTTTGAATTACTGTTCGGTGAATCATATAATGTGAAATTAAGTCAAATTGACTTAAATCATACATTTTATTATCATATCTTCTTCCATTACTACACATTGATTTTTTTCAAGAATGATCTGGACTGCATAACTTTAAAGATATAACACACGTTTACCTCAATTCCTTTTGTATTTATTAATGTTTTGAAAACGGATTAAAACTAAAACCTAATTATATACAGCCTATGAAAAGTCCACTGATGACTATGACCTTCCTCATACATTACCTCATAGGGAGGATACTTGTCATAGTTGTCACGCTTGACAGGTAAGTTGGCTTATTCTGAGGTGTTACCAGGAAGATACTGTTGCCCGTCACCTCTTTCAGTTTTCCTCTGTCGCCTCTATCGACTTTCTCGGGATGAAATGGAGTAGTGGATTCCCTTACGCCTTGTAATGTGACCATCAATTATAATTAAGGTATATTTATGAATTTTACATTTTATAACACCTGATAAAAATAATGAGTTTTATAGAATTATATTTACCCTTAAACCTTTAAGTGTGTTAATTATTAAGCGACTAGTGTTAGTTCTTTTAATGAGACTTACGTTCCCAAGCCAAACTAGCTAATTAATGACGACAGAACAAAAAGTAACACTGGATGTAAATATCCGGAAAGTTTTTAGAGGCGTCTTAATTTTTTTTTTCAATTTTGTTATTGAAATTGATTATAAATTGTAAAGGCCGTAGAAAATATTCGCCATAATGTAGAAAAACGTTCCGGAATACTTTTAATACCTACAACTTTTATCCGTGCCGTGTCAATAAACACAAAGAATGTTCAAGCGTTATAGATCTACTTTTAGAAATGTTTACTTTGGGATGGTACAGGACTGTACTTTCAGACTACATAACCAATATGTGAAATATACAAATATGTTTTTAAAAAGTCATACGGAGCTCCGTACATGGTTGACACTGATACAAATAATAGGAAATAGAATCTATGACAGAGTCAAGATTAAGAAGGAATTGCAGAGTGAAGGAGATTGCAAAAGATTACAAGCGTCGCGCACACAAGCGCAGGATTCACTTGTAGTAGCAGAAAGAGAAAATAATGCGATGCCCGTGGCGGTAGTAAATAAAGCGTGTGTGTGTGCGTCATATAAGCGTATCGCAACGCACGCGCACAGCGTTGCGATACGCTTATATGACGCTTCTGTACCCTCTCAGTGGTAAAGCTTAAGCGATCCCCCCAGCTTCACGCGGGTGATTTCTGAATCTACCGGATCCAATTTTTGCTTAGAACCATCCAGGTGACCCCATAACTGTCCTGTCCCTGGGTTTCTTGCTTCTTCCCAGGACAGAGATTTTTTCGAACCAGTGGTAATTAAACAAAAGTGTGACCTTCAATAAGTATTATTTATAATCTATATTGTATAAAAAAGTTTCTGTTTCTGTCTGTTCTGTAAAAAATTATCAAAATTAAAAGAGGCGAGTTATGAACGTACGCACACCGGAATTTTGTATATAAAGATAGAAATTATTCTATTCTAATATCTTATTTTTTATAGAATAAAGGTAAAAAACAAGCACACCGTTCACCTGATGTAAGTGGATGCTGTGGCTCAAAAACATCTACATCTATCCTCGATGATGATGCCTCGTTTCCAGTAAAAAAGGTCTGCAGTTCTTTACACTCACCATACGAAGCACAGCAGCATTAAGCTGTTAATTTATCCTTCCGTTAATAATTGGTCCTTCCCTAGTCAACGGTGGTACAACCATAATATAGCTTTAGCGTGGCTCTACCACGTTTAAAACTTTACTCTGGTAAATAGTGTTTTATGTTGCAGAAGTGAACGGCAGGGTCGGGAAGGGACGCCCTAGACGAAGGTTTATCGACCAAATCGGCGATACATTAAAAATGAGCCAGATTAACCGACGAGCGTGTATGCGTAGATATATGGATGTAAAGGAGGCGAGAGAGGTGTGTCACGATCGCGCCAAATGGAAGTCGTAGTCTCTGCCTACCCCTCTGGGTGACAGGCGTGAGTGTTTGTATTGTATTGTATTAAATGCCGTCTTTTGTAAGTCAATTAGCTTTGTTTTCCTATGTACCTCGTCAATGGTAAAACGTGTTTATAACATGGCACGGACTAAGGTGTGGTAGGTAATGGACACAGCACAGGGGGTGGGGTGTGGGGGGGTTACCTGCGTTGTGCGTGTGCCTGTAGGCTGGCGGGTCTCGTCGCGGCCGGATCCGGGACGCAGCGCCGCACTGTCAGTGTGCCGTAAGGCAGGTTACTACCGTGTAGTGTCATTTGTCGCACCAATTGACTTTATATCACACTCCCTAACTACGATCTATTCCGGTCGGCAAGAGTTGATAAAAAAACAGGGTTCCTTAACTCATTACAAATAGCGACTCGACTGCCTCATTGACCTAGTAGTGGTCGTAAGTGCGATCATGAGGTCCCGAATCGGGCCAAAATTATTTGGGTTTTCTCTCGTGCCTCGGAAAGCACGTAAAGCCGTATGTGGAAAAAGAGGTAGGAAAGAGAGTGTACTTATGCTTACGCACACACTCGTGCTCTATAATCCTGTCCTGAGCTAATGGCTAGTCTCAGTTGGGACAGGCCGCCGTGACAGAAATTTGGTCTGGAGGACATTCTTTTTTGGGCCGATAATTATTTTTGACACAAAATCGCCGCGTCGGCTTGCTCGTCTAGCCTCGCTCTTGATAATAGTTGCGAGCCTTGTTACACTAAATCTGCAGCTACAAGCGACGCCCGTCAAACATATTGTAAAGCCGGCCACATATGTATATTGCGAATTCCGTTTCGAGACCCCGTTTCGGAATTCCGATTCGGGATTCCGAACGCAGCAAATCATATAAAATCAAGGACCTATCACACACGTACGGTAGTTTTCCGTCCGATATTTTGCGGGAAAAACGGGCAATGGAATGTATGTGGCCGACCCGTTAGGAATTCTGAAACGGAATTCCGAATATATGTGGCAGGCCTAATAGTCGCGATTGCGTCACGATTGCAAGTTGTTTTTATAATATTTATCAACTCTAGCCGGACCGGTTTTTAGACATTGCCAACTTAGCATATTTCTTTGATTTGACTGACTAACACACGCGGTATGAACTGAATTAGTAACATAATTAACTCGACATACTAATAACAAAGTGTGGTTTATGCGATAAAGCTTGCACTTGTTCAATTCGCCGCGCTGGCGTCAATACATTGTCGTACCTATATCGATTCGAAACTTTAAACCGCCCTCCATATAATATAGTCCAGATTTGGTCCTTTCGGATTATTATTTGTTCCCTAATATGAAAATAGAGCTTCGAAGAAAGAAATTTACAGATGACGAAGAAGTGATGTCCGCAATTTCTACCTTTTTTGAGGGCCTTGACAAAACATTTTTTTTTCGAAGGAAGGAAAAATAATTTCCTGTTTGATTTCACTTTTCCTTCTTCGTCGCACTAAAATATATTTGCGCGGCACAGCGCTGTTTTACCCTTGTCTGCCTTAACAACTTTGATATCGACCTTCAGCAAATATTTTTTTCAATGAAAACTTTAATGAAAAACTAATATGAAATTTATGGCACTGCTGAGGGCATATATTAAATTAGTTAATAACGTTGAAATAATTATAAAGTCGATCGATAATATCGATTAAATCGATTGATTAAAATCCAATTCATTAAAGTTGGGAGTAGTGATACATAGCTCAGTTGGTGTGATCAGAGCTACACTTAGTAGTATTGTCATGTTTAAGAGGATAATATCTACATAGATGTAATCAAAAATATCACTTGATGTCTGAAGAAATTAAGATCGTAATAGTGCAAATTATAAAGAATAATTACCCGATTAAATTTAAACTTTAAGAATATACACGTAAGATTGAATTTAGCGTGAAAATGACTCGTTAAGAATGATTTTTAGTTATGATTACGTGCAAGCTTCGAGCCCTCTGTTTAGTTTATCTTAGCGATTTACAGAAGCCTAGCCTTTATAAGCATACTAAGTGTATTTTATTTAGAAAGTAGGATTACGTACCGGTCCGGTTTCTTCAATCAGCTGTGAAAGAGAGGACGCTTCAGAATTCTTCATTTCGTTTGCTTCTGACATTATATGCGCTCGAAGCTGTTTGTTTCTGTAAGATATGAGGGTAAGTTAAAACTAAAGCCGAAATAACTGGCGTGTGAGAGCGTGTGTTTTGGTGTGGGCGGCGACAGTTGTAGTGCGCAGTGCTCAGTGCGCAGTGCGTACCTGGCGTCGAGCTGCATGACGTGGTTGTGCGCCTGCGCGAGCTGCGCCGTGGCCGTGGCCAGCCGCTCCTCCAGCGCCGCCGACTCCACGCACTTCACCGAGTACCTCTCCGACAGCGACAGGATCTCCTGCTTGATCTCTTCCATCTCTTGCCTGATAGCGAGGGCAATGCAAACTTTAGGAGAACTGATGCGAGTAAAACTACAGTCACGTGTGTAGATGAAAAGAGCAGCGGGAAAATATATATATATATATATATATATATTATCAAAGTTATTATGAAATTGAAAAGATTACAGAATGAACCAAACAAAAAAGGGTTTCATTCTAATTTAGTATATGTAGTGTAACGGGAACGGGAAACGGCCACATTCTCAAAGGATGCCAATTACCAACGTGTAGAAAACCAGAGACCCTTTTTACTGAAAATTAGGCTTTTCTTGTTAGTCCTCAGGGATGACAATGCATCTGTTTTTTAATTGAGGCTAGATGTAAATGGATATGGGCCACAGTATCCCCTTGCTATCAGGTGAAAAACAATGAAACAAATCTGTAGTGAATTTTCTTATGCCGTCACTAGTGAATTGTTATTGGATATTGAAGACAAGGTGCCGTGAAGTGGCGTCGTTAGAGAATTCACTACCTCATGTCTTCACGTGGGTGTAAGAGGCGTCAAAGGGAAACTGAAACAGGAGACGGGCAGCAGTATCTTCCTGATAACTCAAATAAGCAAACTCTTCTGCCAGTCGTGTCGACTAACGTTGAACAACGAACTTTTTCTAGGCTGTAACGAACACGAGTGAATTTTTGAATGAATAAGGAGTGATTCGATTCGATCCTCGCCGGCGACAATGAAATTATTAGTTGCAATTTTAAGTGCTGATTTACCACGTGCTCGGCGGTGAAGGAAAACATCGTGAGGAAAAATACATGTTTGAGAAATAAGAAAAACAATATTTCGAAGATATGTGAAGTTCGCCAATAAGCATTGGGGCAGCGCGGCGGGCATTTCCTTGCCCTAAACCCTCTCAGAAATGAGAGGAGACCTGTGTTCAACAGTGAGACGTATATAGGCTGTAACTTTACTTTAATTTATGAGTGATTGATTGAATGAGAAGTGAATGAATGAGGAGTACATGTCAAGTGAAAGAGTCGTGACTGACTGGTGCCTGGTGCTGAGCTGGCCGAGGTCGGGGTGCGCGGCGCGCGCCAGGAACTCGGCCTTGAACTTGTCGACCTCGCGCCGCACCTCGCTCTCGTGCGCCTTGCGCATGGCGTCCAGCGCCGCCAGCGTGGCGCGCGTCTCCTCCGCCAGCGCCTGCTCCTTGTCCAGCCTGCGGACCGACACGTAAGCACACCGTTAGCTTTTGTTATTCTCATGTCGGGACTCGCACCAAGAAATAAAGGGGGCCAAACACTACGAACATTTAAGTGACGAAACCATTTTCAACTCATTGTGAGAACACGCACACAACTGTTAGGCATTATTAGAAAACACGGGTCTTCACGGAATTCAACATTTGCTGTCAAATACTTTGAATATACTTCGCATAAAATCGTTGATTACCACAAATTTTGACCACTAAATTGATGACCAATTACAAACTACTTTTGTAATGTTGTTAGTTGTAAATTATTGATTTCTTACATTTACGCCAACACTACACATTAAATGAAATTAATTTTACGGATTTTATCGCGTTTTAATTTTAACTTTTTTATTCCCAACGTTTCGAGTGCTTTCCAGCACCCATCGTCACGGGAGGATTCCATGAGTGCTGTAAAGCACTCAAAGTTAAAATTAAATGCGATAAAATCCGTAAAATTAGTTTTATTTAATATGCAAATCTTTGTTTCTTTTTTATCAGAGTGTCCTGTCACTCACATAAGTACAATGATTTGTACACATGTATAAAGAAATATTCATATGAAAAGAAGACTATGTGTGGGTCTCAACATTTGGCATTTGCGAAACTATTTTCACGTACCGTCATACCTCATACCTCATGCATATGTCATTCAAGCCTACGACCTCGTAAACGATCGAAGACTATAGTTTATAAAAGTTATCGACTATTATATACTATATACGTACACGTATTTATTATACATATAGAGAGAGACAAGTAGTCACCTGGATGCTTCTCCTCCATCTCACGCACTATGCGGCGGTGCGAGCTTAGTCCAAGAGGAAGAAAGGGCGACGGGTAGTAACCTGAGTTGCTCGCGCTCGGCGCAATGCTTCTCCACCATCTCGCACACGATGCGGCGGTGCGAGCTCAGTGCAAGAGGGAAAGAGAGAGAGAGACAGCTAGTCACCTGAGATGCTCACGCTCGACGCGGTGCTTCTTCTCCATCTCGCGCACGATGCGGCAGTGCGAGCTCAGTGCAAGAGGGAGGGAGAGGGAGAGGGGGAGAAAGGGAGAGAGAGAGAGAGAGAGAGAGAGAGAGAGAGAGAGAGAGAGAGAGAGAGAGAGAGAGAGAGAGAGAGACAGAGACAGAGACAGGTAATCACCTGAGTTGCTCACGCTCGGCGCGGTGCTTTTCCTTCATCTCGCGCACGATGCGGCGGTGCGAGCTCAGTGCAAGAGGGAGGGAGAGAGAGAGAGAGAGAGAGAGACAGGTAGTCACCTGAGTTGCTCACGCTCGGCGCGGTGCTTCTCCTCCATCTCGCGCACGATGCGGCGGTGCGGGCTCAGTGCAAGAGGGAGGGAGAGAGGGAGGGAGAGAGAGAGAGAGAGGGAGAGAGGGAGGGAGAGAGGGAGGGAGGGAGAGAGAGAGAGAGAGAGAGAGAGAGAGAGAGAGAGAGAGAGGGAGAGAGAGAGAGAGAGAGAGAGAGAGACAGGTAGTCACCTGAGTTGCTCACGCTCGGCGCGGTGCTTCTCCTCCATCTCGCGCACGATGCGGCGGTGCGAGCTCTCCATGGCCAGCAGCCCCTTCTCGCAGAGCGCGCGCAGCTGCTCGATCTCCTGCTGGTAGCGCGCACGCAGCCCGTCGCCGTGCGTGTCCGCAGACACCGCGCTCTGCACACACGTTGGGCGGTTAATGTCACATAGTACTATTTTATAACAGTTTCTCTGTCCGATTTTCAGACACAATAGTAGGACAATAGCAATGAACTATGTGTAGTGCACGGGACAGCGAATGGGCTAGGGATAAATCGAGCCATGTAGTGACGATAAGAGAATCCATCCATCACTCTATTTCAACTCGTTGCCGTCGTAAGATGCGGGCCATGGGAATCCAAGAAAAACCTTATGTCATGTACGCTAGACAAAAATAATAAGAAAATATATAGACCAGCGATGGGGAGCTGCGTTAAATGTGCGTAACGTCTCATAATGCGTTCGTCAATCGCGTTCGCGCCGATTCATCAAATAACCCAAAGGAAGAGCTGCAAGTTCTCTTGAACTAAGAAAACTAAGAAGTTAAGAGACTTCTTGCCGTGCATTTTTGTTGGTTGATTAAGATGTTAGTATTAAATTGAGTGGCTAGTAAACAATGTTAACGATCTGTTGCATTCTGGGTAACGTCTGATATTAATAGGTCGGGGAAAAAGTCTCTTCGTACCATGTTTGTATAAAATTGAAGAAAAACTTTGGTTTGACTTTTGGTTGTACTGTTTGTATCTGGCTGGTTTTAATATCAATACATATAGAACTAATGCCCTATAGAAAAATGAAAAGTAAAAAACACTTTGCCGTTATATTTCAATAGCTTTTCTGTCCATTAAAATAAGTGAATTTAACGAAGAAATTCGATACATTTTGAAGTTTTATTACAAAAAAGGGAAAAATGCGACACAAGCCCCAAAAAATATTTGTGACATTTATGGAGCTATTGCAGTGTCAGTAAGAGTAGCCCAAAGTTGGTTCAAGTGTTTTCAGTCTGTGAATTTTGATGTTCAAGATGCAGCTCGCTTTGGTCGTTTTCATACGGATAAAGTTCATGCCATTTTTGAAAAATTGGAGCACGATTGGCATATTAGTAGTTACGACTTAGCTGAGGAATTGAGGATTGACCATAGAACATTATGATTAATTTGAAAAAGTCTCGCTAAATAACTTTATATTTGAGTACAACACGAGCTTAAATGAACTTTTAAGTACGCTGGATTAGCTCAGCAAATTCTGAAGAAATAACGCAGGAACGTTTACGAACGAAACGAAATGAAATTGTTGTGATGACTGTTCTACGACAAGGTTTTGTTAATTTGCTGTTAAATAGAAACATACACATATGAAATGTAGATAGTTAGGATAATGTTTACCGTTGTACAATAACGTTATGTTATTTATGTAATATATAACTACTTATCTCTATTTTGATAGCGTAATTTAGGGTTTTGTGTGTTATTACCTGGTACGCGGCGCGCAGGCTCTCCAGCTGTGCGGAGTACTCGGAGTCGAGCGCGGCGAGGCGGCGCTGCAGCGTGCGCGCGCGCTCCCGCAGCGCGGCGCGCTCGCGCTCGTGCTGCGCCTGCAGCGAGGCGCGCGCGCGCCGCGCCGCCGCCAGCGCGCTCGCCTGCTGCGCCAGCGCCGCCTCGCCGCGCGCGCGCTCCGCCGCCAGCCGCTCCAGCGCCTCCTGCAGCCGCCGGCAGCGCGCGCACCGCCCCGCCAGCTCCGCCAGCGCCTCCGCGCGCCGCGCCAGCGCCTCGGCGCGCTCCCTCTCCCCCGCCTCGCCCGCCGCGCTCGCCTCCCCGTCCGACTCGTCGCCGCCGAGCCGTCGCCGCGCCGCCGCCACCGCCGCCTCCGCCCGCTCGAGGCTCTCGCCGATCTTCATCGAGTCTTCACTGTTACCCGAACAGTCACTGGAGAAGAGCGCTCGGCACTCGTTCGAGAACCGCTGGAACAGGTACACGAACTCCGCCTCGAGGGACGGGTCCGTCTCCAGCGAGGCGATCGCGTCGTCGGCGCGGTGCGCGGCCGCGCCCGGCTCGGCGGCGCGGTACGTGCCCTCCACGACCGCGACGCGCGCGTCCACGAGGGCCTTGTGCGCGAGGACGTCGGCCAGCTGCAGCAGCAACGCGCGGCTGTCGAGTCCCGGCGGGCCCTCCCTGGCGCGGCGGTCGGCGGCGAGGCACTCGCGGTAGCGCGCCGCGATGTCGCGCACGGCCGCGTCCATCTCGCAGCGCAGGTGGTCGTGCGCCGCCTGCCACCACAGCTCCAGGTCGGCGCGGTCCTGCGCGGTGAGCGTGAGGCGGCCGCGGCGCGCCTGCTCCAGCTGCGCCTCGCACAGCTGCGCGGCGCGGCCCAGCGCGCGCGCCACCTCGGCCTGCACCAGCTCGCCGCCGAGCGCGTCCCGCGCCGCCGCCCACGCCTCGCGCACGCGAGCCGCCTCTAAGTTCGCCCGCTGTTGCTCGAAGTCACTGTCTGTAGGCGTCGCGTAACTGAGCGTTTCGCATGCTAGCGCGGAACACAGCTCCGCTAACTTCTCGCTCTTGTACTTGTCGACCGCTTCGGCTACTTCCTTTTGCGACGTCTTAAGGGCTTCGAGATCGGCGCTCTGTATTATCAACTCCGATTTTCTAAGCTCTTTCGTCTCCTTAGTGTTCATTATGTCAATTTTGCGCGATAGTATCCTCGCCAGGTAGTCGAGCGAGCTCTTTGTGCTACTGATATTTTTGTAGATGTCGCCGTTTATCTTACATTTAAGGTTATCGATTAATTGACTAGTTTCGATTATTTCAGACTTTATTAATCTAGCAAAGAATCTGCTTCCGTTGGAAGACTCTAAAGCCTCTTGTATCCTGCTTATGAGGACAGCCTCATATGCCAGTTTCTCTGCCAGGATTTCCAAGCTCTTCCTTTGCGTTAGCTCGCCGGCTTCGTATAGCGCCGCCTTTTTCTTTGATATTTCCAATAATTTGGTTCTCAATTGTTCTTCAAGTTGCACGACTACCTCCGCTACGCTGTCGTTGATTTCTTCTTTATGATCTTGACAATCCACCAAACATTTATCGAAGCATTCTTGTAATCTTTTGCTGACATCCATCAAACATTTCTCCATCGATTTAATACTGTATTTTTTCTCAAGACTAGGTGAAGGCGATCTCCTTGATTTCGCTGCCCGCATAGCGCTCATTTGACAAAGACATTCATTTATCTTATTTCGCGAATGTACAACTACATTTTCGAGAGTCTGTAGGCGATCGAGCAGGTGCCTTTGTGATGGCGTACCGACTGATGAGCTCTCCTGACTTTCGTTCAACGAAGAGTTATCGGGGCAAGCCGTCGTTAAGCTTAAAGATTCACAAGAATTGGTTAAATCCCGCCGGTTTTCAATGGCGGAAGCAATTTTGGTTTCTAATGAACTTAGTCGAACTAGCATTTTCATAGGCTCCGAACTTGTGGCGCTATCTAAAGACTTTCTCCTTAGACGTGCAGCTAACCTTTTAAGACGTTTTTCATCTGTAACACTGTCAGTTTTAGTAGCTTTTTCTTTGGCTGGGGATCCACTTTTAGATGGAGAATTTATGGTAGGAACAGATTCCCCAGATTCGAGGAGAGACACTTTGTTTTCTAATTCTGTTAATTTTTCTTCAAGCTCCTTTCCCAAAGAAAACGATTCCCTCCCTTTTAATGACAAACTACGCCTCTTTTCTCTTGATTCAGTTTTTTGAATCTTGTGTTTCAGTGTTCGGACTTGTTTGTCCGATGCTGTCAATTTTTGTGTCAAATCTAAAATCTTCGCTGCCATTAAATTAATTTCTGATCTGCTGCACTGTTCTCTCAGTTTCATTTCATTTCTTAATTTCATATTTGTAATTTCAAGTTCGTCATACATATTGTGTGATTCCCGAAGTTCTTTCTTCATAGCCTTAATTTCTTGAATAGCTTTCAAAAATCGTCCCCTTAGTTCAACATATTCATCGATCAGTCTATTCTTATCCAAAGATTCCAAGTTCAGGTCTTGATTCAGATTAGTGAGATCACTAAGTGAACCGATACTTTTTCTCTTCTCTTTAGAAGGCGATTCAGATGGCACCCTGCCTTCCAACTCTCTGATCCTGGAATATAAGCTATCGTTTTCTTTAACGCTTTTCACTAGTTTTTCGTTTAACTCATTTAATTCTTTTTGTAACTGTTTTATATTTTCCTGAGCTGATGCTAGCTGCCTTGTGAGTAACTCACAGTGCTCTGTCGATTCCTTTAAAAAGTTTCGAGTTTCGGACAATTTGGTCTCCCACATAGTTTTATCTTGATTGTAAAGCTGTTTTATAGCGTCTAAACTTTCAGCTTCCTTAGTTCGTATAGATAATTCCTCTTCTTTCTTTTGTAATGCTATGACAAGTTCCTCCATTTTCTTCTCTCGTAATGCCGTTTCAGATTTAAGCTTTCGGAGTCTCGCAAGTTCAGATTCCGCAGCGTTAAAATCACTAATTGCTAATTTTAACTGTTTGCGTAAATCGTCAATTTCTATTGCCTGTTTATCTATAGTCGAAATGTAACTACGTTTCCTTGGTTCATTCGGTTTCTCGTTTTCATCCACTTCATCAATGGAGCGATCTTTGGTAGAATCTATTTCGTCTTTATCATTGTTCAATTCTGTTCGAAGCGGTATCTGATGACAAGATCTTGCACGGACCTTCTCTTTGACTTTGGAGATTGGGGTTCGAGTTAATATTGGTGATGGTGGTGGTTGTGACGTTATATCTCCCCAATCGGCGCTGTCCCTACGGCCACCTTCGGAAGCTGTTCTGTATTCTTCGTCTGAAGAAAATGGTGCCGATTTTCCAGTGTTTGGGGTAATTGGGGTCACTGGCGAAGTTGACGATTCTGATGCTTGATCGACGCTGTCCTGATCCCGTAGTATCAGCGACAAAGGTCCAGAATCGGGCAACCCAGCTGTTCTTCGAATTGCCGAAACCCAGTTTGCTCTAATTCCTGCTGTCACCGCCGACAAAACGATGTGCTTGCCGTCCCACGTCTGCAATGACGAGAACTAATATGACATCATTATTATTTTTATTAAGAGAAATAAAATTGATTTATTACAAAGCTAGGTAATGTTTTATTGTGATATTTTTTAATATTAATTATTATTTAGAAAGCTTTTGATCTTAAAGTTGTATTTAAAATACAACTTTAAGATTTAAATATAATATAATTTTTGAATTACCTCAGTTTCAAAGGCGTATCCGTTAGTGGAGGCTGACGTTGGTAGTTCCACCACATTGGCCACACCACTAAGGTCGATAACACCGTCTAGCAATCCTCGGTGCTCGGCCTGTGGATCTCTAAAATATAGCAGTGCCGCTCCACGTAGCACGAACCAGTGTCGCGACCATCCAGCTGGGCCGCGTCTTTGCAACCATCCCGCTCTAGCGTGTAGGAGCCTTTCAGCGGGCAATTCAACTCTGCCCCCCTCTCCGTTTTCTGAAGCTTCGACTGCGTCAGGTGGTTCACTGCCCTCACTTGCGGAACTGGAGCTACCTTCTTCTGGCGGTGCGCCGCCGTCAGGTGAACCTCGTGCCTATAAGTATTTAAATACTTAGTGATATTATTACTTATGAAACTAAAGACGCATTTTTTTATAAAAGTGATGTAGTCAATTTATTCTAATATTGAATATAAACTATTAATAAAGAAATATGTGGCGATAACAAATAAAAATAAAAATAAAATAAATAAAAATAAAATAACAAAGGAGAAAGACTGTACCGGTAGTCGATCGGGCGGTGGAAGTCTGGTGGGCCGCTCTAGAGTTGGCGGCAGAGCTCGACGAGAGCGCGGCCTCGTGAGCGACGCGGCGATGTCACGCAGCTGCTCGTCGTACTGCTGGTGCTGTTGCTGCAGTAGCGGGGAGCGGGTCACGCTCACTGCAAATGCGTCGTGTATATTATATGTATGAATATTATATGTATGTATAAATATTCCACATACATATCTAAAATGTAACAGGCTATACATGTCGTGAATTTTTTTTTATAAGACGTGAAGTCTTCCAATACGCTCGTGGCAGCGCGGCGTACATTTCCATGCCCTAAAACCCTCTCAGAAATGAGGGTAGGACTGTGCCCAAAAGTAGGTAACATAATATATGAGCTGTAACTTTACTAAAGATATCCTTACAAATTGGAGACACCTGAGTTGATTTGAAGGAGAAGTTCCCCGCGCTGCTCAATGAGAGTTGGTGGACATACATGTAATATAGTTTCACATAAATCGAACTGATGTTGTCAAAGAAAAGTAACAATTATATGTGGTATAAATTCATTCATCCATTACAGCGTATCAAAGTCCACTGCTGAACAGAGGCCTCCCGATAGATTGCCTCATAAGGAGGATATTTGCCATAGTTGCCACGCTTAGCAGGCGGTTAGCAACCACAGATTTTTTTTTGTTACTTTAACACAGGAATAGGAAAGGGATAAAGTCCCTTAACAACAACGAGTCTTTTTGCCTTTAAAATCACAGTAAATAGAATAATATGATATTCGTATGAATAAGGAAAGCATAACATTTAGTAGTGTTTCTTCTGTATACTTCAATGTTGACCCTTTTATATTCTATAAAATATGGAGTTTTGGCGGGAACTTGACCACCGGCGGATTGTAGTACCTTCGAAGTGGATTTTGATACGTAAAAAAGGTGCGGTTTTTTAAAATAAATGTCTGCGTATGTAAACTATTAGTAGAAAGGAGGTAACAAGTACTCTGGGCAGCTTGAGATATTATCGTCATATGGCCGTCGTCGTTGCATGTCCGCTGGGTTAAGCGGTCGTCAAAATCTCTCTTAAACCTCGCAATGCGACGCTTCATCATATTGTAAGGAATTTTGTGAATAATATACACACTAAACTCCCTGTGGGTCTAAAACCTTTGCCGCCCTTAATTAGCAAATCGTAACAACTGCAACCAAGACAACAATTGTAGAATAATTTTTTTTACCGTAGATTAAAAATAATACTTATAGAAAATATTTTTCACTTTACCACTGGTTAGAAAAAAACCCAGACTAAGCCTTTGATTTTTCGGATTCATTTAATCACGGCTACAATTGGTTTAGTACCAATATTGAACTAGTCAGTGTTTTGCAAGCGATAAATTCTAAGCTGTCAAGTAACTATGTGTATTATGCGATTATTGTCGGTCGTGTACTAATTGCATATTCATATTTACGTTGATATTGAACTTAGAAGCCATATCTGGCTAAGGACTTTCGGTTTAATATTTCTATTTAGATGCCCTCGGTGACTGACGTGAACTTGATCGGTAATAGCATTTGCTTTAAAAATAATGTTCATTAACGCTTAATTAACGCACTTAATCGGTATTTTAATTCATTGATGTTAGTAAAAAAGTTTAATAAGATAAATCATACCATCTTCATCGACGGTTGGCGTGGCGCTAGACTCGGCCCACTCCCGTCGTCGAGTTCTCGCCTTTTCGTCTCCGTTTATCTTATCTCGCGTTGGCGGTGATGCTGAAGACACCGGTTGATCAGCGTACACTGAAATAATACAATTAAATTTAAATTCCTGTCAACTAGATTTAAAATCATTATCTTACGAAACTTTATTTGAAAATATCTAAGTATAATTAACACTTACTACAAAACTTACTACGCATACTATATAATTAATAAAAATACATTTCGCGCCGTAGTTTATTTTGTAACAGATATAATCTGTATGTTTGTACGTTGTAGTATGCAATATCAGCCAGAAAGACATTAGCATGATTTTATATTTATGTCACAGCTAAATGCCGAAGTGCGAAGGTATAACACCTACGTTTCGCCGGCTACAACTAAGTACAGCCAATTGTGGTTGGTTAAAACACCTAAGGGTGTTGGAAAAAAAATATGAAGAAATGAGGTTACTTTCGTACTAGAGATATTTACGACGGGCACTTAATCCTTGAGCTACGCAAATAATTATATTATGAAACTGTAGTGAGTGAGAGTGATTATATTGTTTACGCCTTAGACGAAAGTTTATCGGCTAAATTGAAAATATATAGAAGATAGGCCAAATTAAAAGTACATTTAACCGACGAGCATGTATGCGTGGTTATATGTATGGACATGAACCAAGCGAGAGAGGTGTGTCAGGATCGTGCCAAATGGAAGTCCGTAGTCTCTGCCTATACCTCTGGGTGACAGGCGTGAGTGTTTATTTATGTATAATCACTCTGTTTTAGTTAGATATGCCAACAGTGCCCGTGATGGTCGGATCGCGTGCGTCAAGGTCTCAAACAAAAGCAAAACTCATAAAAAGCGTACGCCCTTTTTTCGATTATTTACGAGTCAATGTTGTTATATCGGAGCGCGCATCTCGACTGTCTTGCGATCGAAAAATAAAAAAGGACCTGTTATATTCTGAAATTGTATAGTCGTTCTGAAAAATACGAGGGATGTGAGGGGATACCCGCTGATTTTATAGCGAGTACATTCTGTACCCACGATTGTATTAAGTACATACTTAAGAGTTAAAATTAAACTTTAAAAATCTTTTAATAGAATAAGCTTCAGTTTTTTTATAGAATGGGGGTGACAAACGAGCACACAGTCCACCCGATGGTAAGTGGATGCTGTGGCCCATAGACATTTACATTTATCATCGATTAAGAATTAAAATGTATCAGCATTATCACACCTGAGGACTGTGATGGAATGCCTCGTTTCCAGTAAAGTGGGTCTTCGGTTCTCTAAACTCACCGTACGAAACACAGCAGCATGAAACTGCTATTTTACGCTGGTATTCTGTGAGAGCATGGTCCTACCCCAGTCGAGGCGACCCATTAGTGCTACAACCATAATATAGCTGCAGCGTGACTACCACGTAGTACTTAGTATTTATCATCTATGCAAGTTAAATAATTCAAATGGCTATCATTAGCCTGCGAGTTAGCTGCAGGACAATCGCATATCATCTAACACAGTAGGGAGAACTTAGCGTACCAGCGTTCTGGCGGAAAACGCTTTAGGGCCCGCTTTATTGACGATCTCAGTAACAGACGCGTCACACGCAAGTTTGCTGCCAGTCACCGTGGGATTAGTCAAGTTGAAAACTATAAAAATGAATGGCAATGACATATTTCAATGTTAAGTAATACGACTGCATTCATTTTAATAGTTTTCTATTAGCCTTAAATGTTTGTAGAATATCAACTTTGCTAACTCTATTAACAAAAAAATAAAATTGAAGTTTCTGTTTGTAATGTCAAAATAACAGCTTATTATTAAATGCATATGAACGTGTATACGGCGCTTATAACAAAAACACATTTTTTTTAAATTTTGTCTGTCTGTTTGTTCCGGCTAATCCCCGAAATAGCTGCTGGATCGTTTTTCCCGGGACTTTCACTGGCAGATAGTTGATGAAAAGAGTAATTTAGCTTACTTTTATTTTAGAAAAAAGAATTAGGGTTCTGCGCAAAAAAATTAAAACCCTAACACGCGAGCGAAGTTGCGGGGACCAGTTATCTTATATAAAAAAAGATAGTAAATGTAAAATAAAAATAGCCTAAGCCTTAAGTTACTTCTTATGACATCGGCTACCTGCCAGTGAAAGTCCCGTCAAAATCGGTCCAGCTGTTTCGGAGAATAGCCGGAAAAAACAGACAGACAGACAAAATTTAAAAAATTGTATTTTAGTTATAAGTACCGTATATACTTACATATGCCTTTAGTAAAAAGCTGTTTTTTGACATTACAAACAGACACAATTTTATTTATTTGTATAGATAGGGTGACAAACGAGCACACAGTCCGCCCGATGGCAAGTGGTTGCTGTGGACCCGTAGACATCTACATCTATCCTCAATACAGAATCAAAATGCAGATGCGTTGTCACCCGTGAGGATTAAGATGGAATGTCTCTTTTCCGGTAAAAAGGGTCTCCGACTCTGCACTCACCATACGAAACACAGCAGTGTTAAACTGGTATTTTACGCTGGTATTCTGTGGGAGCGTGGTCCTTCCACAGTCGAGCCGACTCATTCGTCCTACAACTATGCTACTAATATATCCCAAGATTTTATGACATTTCCCTTAAGTAAATCTTATGATATTTTTGGTTCGAAATGTGTCAATTAATTTTCTAAGCCGTCATTATATGTGGTAAGAGCTAAGCAAAAGCGCTCATCATCATCATCATACCTGCAGCACAAACGAGAGAGTGAAGGGCTACACACTCAGAATACCAGCATGGAATAGCAGCATAATGCTCCTGTGTTTCGTATCGCCCTTTTTGTTCGTAACCAAGCATTCCATGTAAGCCATCAAAGGTAACGATGCATCTGCATTTGAGTTCCTAATTGAGGATAGATGTAAGCGACCCTGGGCCACAGTGTCCAGTAACCATCAGGTGGACTGTGTGCTCGTTTATCACCTCTACTTATATAAAAATCCCACGACTAGAGAATTTGTTATCGAATGATGTGTTCTTATGGAATTTCCAATAAAATAATTGCTCGTGTCAATTTTATTTTGGAATAGAAATTTTGCAATAAACCGCGAATATAATAAATTAAGAAGAAAAGACAATCACAGAGTTGTCAAAACAGAAGAAATTTATTAACACTTATGGAGCGCATTAATCGACAAAACGAACAAGATGTCGTTACCGAGCGAGGAGTGAGCCCGCGCTTTGTCGGCGCGCGTGCGGTGAACGTTCCAATTTATGCACGTTTGTATTAGACATATTATTACCTAGCGTTTATAAATTAACATTACAGGCGCATTCATAGACACCGTTAAATAAAATAATTAAAGCATTTGCATATTTATTCTTATTTATAATTAAAACATGAGCATTTATTGCTTTTTAAAATAATGCCGCTGTCGTTTTCTATGAAACATTAAAGCGACCAGTGAAATTGAAGACAGAGTGGGAGCGATTCCACAAGAATAACGTCTACTTATATGATTTGAATGTAATTACTAAGATGAAATAACACAAACGTATATATTTTTTAATTAATATGGAATTAGAAAGTGTTGCATCAGAGATCTTAATTTGTAATATTGTAATATATGCAACATTGCAGTTAAGTTGGAGAGAGTTTTTTGGCCTTTTTCAAAAACAATTGTTAACAGAAAAATAAAACCACTTAATCCTAAAGCTAAAGCAGACTCAGAAAGTGCACTGAAAGTGATTTATGAGAGTTACATCTTTATAGCTCGCATTAAATTTGTCGTAGTGTCATGAGCTTAATAAAACGAACGATATATATTCGCTGGTTAATAATGATTCATAAAGAATCTACACTGTAAAAACGAAATTAATAAAAAAGAAAAGGGCCAACTCTTTGGAACGTGTACTGCGATGGCGCAGGATATAGAGCTAAGATTTACACACGTACGAATGTCAATGGAATATAAATAATTCATAGATCATATAATTGTGAGCTTGCGGTTGTAAATCATCTGCACTGCACTGTGATGGTAGAGCACCATCTACGTGTGCTACTTTAGAACGACATAACGCGTATCAACTAGCGCACTAAGGTTTTATTAGAGCATTGTTATTTAAATTTATTTTGTAACGTTCGAGCATGGTAGGGGTAAGGCAGCTTTTCTGACAAAGGTTCGTTTGGGTTAGCAGGAGTCGAGCATTCACCGTTGTTTTGGTTTAAATGGTGAAAGCCTACAATTGAAGTTTGTAAGAAATTGCTATATATTATGAAATTAAAGTGACAAACGGTTTTACATTCCACCTGATATCAAGTGATTCTACTCCAACTAAGCCATTATTACGTACCTCGTATATAGGATGTCTATTCCAGATACGAGTAAACATTATTTATACATTTTATATTATTATGTTTTTTTTTATAATTTAAATATTAATTTACTTTCAAAAGTAATTATATTTGTCAGTTTTTGATATAGTGTCTTGTTCTTAAACTGTTATGATGCTGTAATTGCTGTAATAATAATAAATAAAATATACAAGTTATGATTTTTAAGGCTTTTTGTCGGTGGAAGGTGAACTTCTACCCACACGACACAATGTACTTGTATTTTAGATATAGTCTAATAAAAGACATAGTACTAGCCAAACCTCTTTTTTGTTACAGGTGGCTCCTGTATCCCATGGACACCACAAACAAACTTCAAACAAAGAAGTCTGCAGATACGTTTTTACCTTTGAGGAATATAATTGAATGCCTATGACCTGTAATTATATAATTATACTGCCCCTCCCTCTCTATACTTCTTTTACCGAAATATAGCAGATTACGCAATGCTGCTTTTCGGCAGGAATAGGTAAAAGGGTGTTACCTATCCAGTTGGACACTTAGGCAGAAAGAGACATACCACCTAGTTAAATGATGATTTATTGTTCGTGATGATGATTGATCATGATAATATATCGTCATACTTATCATCCCGCGGGAGGCGACAGAGAGATACTGAGACAGGAGAGTGTTCAGCAATGAACTTTATAGGTTGTAATGATGATGATGTTGATTATTGTTAAATAATTTCCGAGACAGCAAGGG